ATTTATAGTTTGAAGAACGTAGATTAATCCCCTGTCATTGAAAATAACAATAAACGACCAGAACACTGTTAAAATCTCATTTAAATGCGGAATACCACTATTTTCTCGACCGCTGGCGTCACCCGTGGCAATTCGCTCAAACTGCTAGCCAAATTATATCGACAGGTGAGTGAAAATTTCCAGTGACGGAAAAATGCAAATATCTCAGTAATTAAGCACTTAAAAACAACGTCATTAGTCTCAGATTGTCCCTCAGAACCTAATGCATGGACTCAATAGTACAGAACTCTTGAATTAGTAAAATTAGTTATACCTGTATTACCGTAGCCCCTAGTGCGGCGGCAACCCCACTTGCAACAGGTTTCTATCGCATTTACACCGCTAAACGGGCATGATTCTTCCTCGTCACGCAGTAAATTCGAAGTTTCAACAACGTAGATTAGTTCTTTCTAGCGACTGGAAACAAGTAATTACAAGAACATTGTTAAAATAACATTTGTTTGCAACGGTTGACACTGTATCGCGTCATGCGTACGCAGGTTAGTTCACTTTGAATAGCTCTTACACCGTTATACGGATAACTTTCGTCTAGATAAAATACTCCATTTATAGCTGAAAGAACGTAGATTAATCGACTGCCATTGAAAATAATAATAAACGACCAGAACACTGTCAAAATCGCATTTAATTGCGGAATGCCACTATTTTTTGACCGGTGGCGCCATCCGTGGCGAATCGGTCAAACTGCTAACCAATTATATGGCTAGCAGTTTCAGCGATTTACCACGGATGGCGCCACCGGTCGAAAAATAGTGGTATTCCGCGATTAAATGCGATTTTAACAGTGTTCTGGTTGTTTATTGTTATTTTCAATAACAGTGGATTAATCTACGTTCTTTTAGCTTCAAACTGAATGCTTGATCAAGCCGTAACTTGTCCATAGAACGTTGGAAGAGCTATTTAAAGTGAACTAAACGGGGTACGCATCGCGAGAGTGTCAACCGTTGCAAACAATTGAGATATTAACAATGTTCTTGTAATTACTGGTTCCCACCTGCTAGAGAGTACTAATCTGCGTTCTTTAAACTTCCAATGTAATCCATGACAAGGAAAACTGATGCTCGTTTAGCAGTGTAAATCCGATCGAAATCTGTGGCAATTACATAACCACTAAATAGGCAACACTTTTCTTCGTCATGCATTACATTCGAAGTTTAAAGAATGTAGATTAGTACCCTATAACAGCTGATTCGTCTTGACCAAGCAGTCAACTTGTAGCTGGAAGAATGTAGATTAATCTCCTGTCAGTGGCAATAACAATAATCGACCAGAACAATGTTAAAATCGCAATTTATTTACAACGGTTCACACTGTATCTCGTCATGCGTACCCCGGTTAGTTCACTATGAACAGCTCGTAAACCGTTATACGGACAGCATTTGTTTAGCTGAAGCACTCTATTTGTAGCTGAAAGTACGTAGATTAACCCACTGTTATTGATAATAACAATAAACAACCAGAACACTGTCAAAATCGCATTTAATTGCGGAATACCATTATTTTTTCGACCGGTGGCGCCACTCGTGGCAATTCGCGGAAACTGCTAGCCAAATTATACCGACAGGTGAGTGAAAATTTCTAGTGATGGAAAAATGCAAATATCTCACTAATTAAGCACTTAATATGAACGTCATTAGTCTCAAATTGTTCCTCAGGACTTAATGCATCGAGCCAATAGTGCAGAAATCCTGAATTAATAAAATTAGTTATGCCTGTATTACCGTAACCTCTTCCGGGCCATACCCTGATTGACAAATATTTCGATCGCATTTACACCACTATACGGGCATGATTCTTCTTCGTTTTGCATTAGATACAACGATTAAAGAACGTAGATTACTATTCTCTAACGGCTGGACACTAGTAATTACAAGAACAATGTTAAAATCGCATTTGTTTGTGACGGTTGACACTGTTTCTCGTCATGCGTACCCCGGTTAGTTCACTTTGAATAACTCTTCCAACGTTATATGGACAGGTTACGTCTTGATCAAGCATTCAGATTGAAGCTGAAAGAACTTAGATTAATCTCCTGCCATTGAAAATAACAATAAACGACCAGAACACTGTTAAAATCGTATTTAATTGCGGAATACCACTATATTTTCGACCGGTGGCGCCATCCGTGGCGAATCACTGAAACTGCTAGCCAATTTTACGCTAGCAGTTTCAGCGATTCGCCACGAGTGGCGCCACCAGTCGAAAATGTAGTGGTATTCCGCAATTAAATACGATTTTAACAGTGTTCTGGTCGTTTATTGTTATTTTCAATGGCCGGAGATTAATCTACGTTCTTTCAGCAACAAATCGAGTATTTTATCGAGACGAAAGTTATCCGTATAACGGTGTAAGAGCTATTCAAAGTGAACTAACCCGGGTGCGCATGACGCGATACAGTGTCAACCGTTGCAAACAAATGCGATTTTAACAATGTTCTTGTAATTATTAAGGTCCAGCCGTTAGAGAATAGTAATCTACGTTCTTTAAGCGTTGTATCTAATGCAAAACGAAGAAGAATCATGCCCGTATAGCGGTGTAAATGCGATCGAAATATTTGGCAATCAGGGTATGGCCCGGAAGAGGTTACGGTAATACAGGCATAACTAATTTTACTAATTCAGGGTTTCTGCACTATTCGATCGATGCATTAAGTCCTGAGGAACAATTTGAGACTAACGACGTTCATATTAAGTGCTGAATTACTGAGATATTTGCATTTTTCCATCACTAGAAATTTTCACTCACCTGTCGGTATAATTTGGCTAGCAGTTTGCGCGAATTGCCACGAGTGGCGCCACCGGTCGAAAAAATAATGGTATTCCGCAATTAAATGCGATTTTGACAGTGTTCTGGTTGTTTATTGTTATTATCAATAACAGTGGGTTAATCTACGTTCTTTCAGCTACAAATCGAGTGCTTTACTTAGACGAAAGCTATCCGTATAACGGTGTAAGAGCTATTCAAAGTGAACTAACCGGGGTACACATGATGAGATACAGTGTCAACCGTCGCAAACAAATGCGATTTTAACATTGTTCTTGTAATTACTAGTGTCCAGCCGTTAGAGAATAGCAATCTACGTTCTTTAATCGTTGTATCTAATGCAAAACGAAGAAGAATCATGCCCGTTTAGCGGTGTAAATGCGATTGTAATATTTTGCAATGACGGTAGTCGCCTCATAAGAGGCTACTGTAATACGCGCATAACTAATTTTACTAATTCAGGGTTTCTGCACTATTGGGTCGATGCATTAAGTCCTGAGGAACAATTTGAGACTAACGACGTTCATATTAAGTGCTTAATTACTGAGATATTTGCATTTTTCCATCACCAGAAATTTTCACTCACCTGTCGGTATAATTTGGCTAGCAGTTTCCGCGAATTGCCACGAGTGGCGCCACCGGTCGAAAAAATAATGGTATTCCGCAATTAAATGCGATTTTGACAGTGTTCTGGTTGTTTATTGTTATTATCAATAACAGTGGGTTAATCTACGTACTTTCAGCTACAAATAGAGTGCTTCAGCTAAACAAATGCTGTCCGTATAACGGTTTACGAGCTGTTCATAGTGAACTAACCGGGGTACGCATGACGAGATACAGTGTGAACCGTTGTAAATAAATTGCGATTTTAACATTGTTCTGGTCGATTATTGTTATTGCCACTGACAGGAGATTAATCTACATTCTTCCAGCTACAAGTTGACTGCTTGGTCAAGACGAATCAGCTGTTATAGGGTACTAATCTACATTCTTTAAACTTCGAATGTAATGCATGACGAAGAAAAGTGTTGCCTATTTAGTGGTTATGTAATTGCCACAGATTTCGATCGGATTTACACTGCTAAACGAGCATCAGTTTTCCTTGTCATGGATTACATTGGAAGTTTAAAGAACGCAGATTAGTACTCTCTAGCAGGTGGGAACCAGTAATTACAAGAACATTGTTAATATCTCAATTGTTTGCAACGGTTGACACTCTCGCGATGCGTACCCCGTTTAGTTCACTTTAAATAGCTCTTCCAACGTTCTATGGACAAGTTACGGCTTGATCAAGCATTCAGTTTGAAGCTAAAAGAACGTAGATTAATCCACTGTTATTGAAAATAACAATAAACAACCAGAACACTGTTAAAATCGCATTTAATCGCGGAATACCACTATTTTTCGACCGGTGGCGCCATCCGTGGTGAATCGCTGAAACTGCTAGCCATATAATTGGTTAGCAGTTTGACCGATTCGCCACGGATGGCGCCACCGGTCAAAAAAATAGTGGCAGTCCGCAATTAAATGCGATTTTGACAGTGTTCTGGTCGTTTATTATTATTTTCAATGGCAGTCGATTAATCTACGTTCTTTCAGCTATAAATGGAGTATTTTATCTAGACGAAAGTTATCCGTATAACGGTATAAGAGCTATTCAAAGTGAACTAACCCGCGTACGCATGACGCGATACAGTGTCAACCGTTGCAAACAAATGCGATTTTAACATTGTTCTTGTAATTACTGGTTCCGAGCTGCTAGAGAGTACTAATCTAAGTTCTTTAAACTTCGAATGTAATGCGTGACGAAGAAAAATGATGCCCGTTCAGCCCTGTAAATGGGATCCAAACCTGTTATTGTTAGGGTTGCCACTCCATAAGGGGTCAGCATTAATAGTAGCATAAATAATTGTACTAATATTAACTTAAATTATTAATAAAAACTGGTGTTGTGCAGTATTGAGTCTAGGCATTAAGTCGTCAAGAATAATTTGAGACCGACGACGATCATTTTGAGCGCTTAATTACACCGAAAAATAGTTGGCGCCGAATGTTAACGTATCTTAATGATTTATATCTCAAAAAATTACTCCTACAGCACCGTTTATATTTTAATTATAAATAAGATTTCATTGTCACTGAATCATTCATAAAGCAAGAAAACTTTTTAATATTACGTTTATTGAACTAATAATTGCTTTCTGGTCTGCTAGAATTAGCATCACTAGATTTTCATGATATCATTTCATTGTATGCATGCCATTCAGACTTGGAAAGTGTTTTTATCAATGTGTTCCCTTAATTTTTTAATCTCAGTAGCACGTAAGCTTTTGCTGTAAGAGAAAGCTGGGTAATCCTGCTTCGATCTTATCATATCTTTGATTTCTTTCTCCAACTTTCTTATTTGTCTGATTTCAGTCTGTTGCATCCTATAGTGCAGTATTTTCTCGTAATCCTGTTGACGGTTCTGGGACAAGTATCTCGAGAAAAATCTTGTGACTGGTGTCTGTAAGGTATTAGAACATTGTTAGACATCTTATTTCTCAGTCAATGTAACCGAAATATCTTTGAATCCTTACTCTATGATATTCCCACTGTTTTGGGATGTAACCTTCTGGAATCGCTGTCAATGTGGCTGGCCCTATAAACACATTAGCACAGAATATAACTATGCCTACGGGTATAGCCCCCAAGTAAAAGTAGAAGTACATCCACTCCTTTACTTTATGCCATTGCCAACGAGTTGGCTCTATAGTCATAATCCGATGGTGTGAACTGTTTCGTACGATCTCTGTGAAAGAATAAATTAAGCTGAGCAGGTCATCTTAAATCGCAGCACCTTGGACATGTATCTTGCCCAAAGAGGATCATAGTTGTATAAAAATTGATACATTTGCTTTATATCTGTAAAGTGAATTTGAAACTTGCCATTAGGTTGCCACAAAAAAAAAAACTTTCAAGAAACTTGGAGGACAATATATACACTAATTACAAAATAGTACCTACACTGTTACTGTAATTACAAGATAGTAAACTATAGGGTTTATCATTTTAAATAAGTTTAACAGTTATCAGTTATATGAATAATATAATTATTTAAATAAGTGGTACAGGACAAACGTGTGCCAGTAATAAACAACCAAGTGGAGTAACAAAGGACTACGAATTTCTAGGAAATTTTCTAATGTTAGTACGATACAAACAAGTTAAACGAACAGTTCATTCGAATCCGTCCATAAACATGTTGCGTAACAAAACACTGCTAGTTTTAGGAATACTTCCTGATCCATGGAATTGGCGCACAGTGTCACAGTTGTGTTTTGTTATGACGACTCAAATTACCATTGTTTAGCGGCTTTTTCACCAATAATCCATTGATTTTGAAAATTTTTTGGCCACTCGCAAGCAAGGCCTTGCTCCACGCTGCCATGGTTCACCTCTATAACCGTCAGTTACTTTCTCGAGCAAATCGGAGCGTTAATTACAAACCACAGGAACCTACTTACCGACCGAGACGTTCGTTCCAGCCCGCGAAAATTTAAACTACAAACCGTGTAGAAAAACGGTTACGTAATTTTTTAATAGCAATTACATTAAAAATTATTGTCTATATATAGTGATTCCCATACTTATTCATACACTTCTTCAATAATAATTAGATTTAACGATTCTTGTGTAATTTCCATTTGTTTATCCTAATAGCAAACAAGCCTATGATTCACTAGACTGGTTTCGACTCGATTATTTTTTCTACTGTAGTTTCCTACTTTTCTCTCAGAAAATCCTATTCCTATTTTTTATACTATTTTATTTAAAAATGTATACTATTTTTTGTATTGTGGTTCCTATTTTTTCTACTGTAGTTCCAGATTATCATAACAATAATAATTAAATACACTTTTCGTAGCGCTTTTGTCAGATGATGAAACACTGATCGACAAATTAATCGATATAGTTGATGTTTCCCATGTCGTTTCGAGATGCGTATTTATTGTTTACGCGCGCTTCCAATAGAGATAAAAACGACGAAACTGTATCTTTCACGGCGCAATTCAATATAATTCGTCCGGCTAGCGTCAATGCAGCCAGGTCAAGTGACTAATTGAACTCGAGGAATGATTCTGAGTTACGAACACTCGGGAATCTTCGCGATCGTGTTCTTAAAAAACAAAAAAAGAACACAAATAATACTACTTGATAAGTCTATAAGTCAATAATTAATTTCAAAAAAAAAACAATTTCAAATATTATTTTAAATATAATCGTTGTTCCATGATTCAAATAAAATACTATTTTAGATAGACAGAGAAATAGTTTTATTTTAATAGTATAAAACATAAAATAAAATATTTTAACTTTGCATTAAATACTATTTAAAATATTAGTAGAGGTAATATTAATAAAATGCAAGAAACCATAATACTGGTGGAATAAATTTATTTTTCTTTTTATGTATGACTATTTGCATGTAACAGAGTGTATCGTTCAAAGTTTCCATCACTTAAGTTATTCCTTCGCGAGTACAAAATCAATCCAGCGAAGCTAACCAATCTTTCAACTGGAGCAGATGACGGAATCGGCGTATTATACTTTCAAAATAATTATTTCATGTTCGTATACTTTGTGATACTTTGAATTCACAAATCATTATCACCTGAGTATTCCAATATACTAACTATCATTGTCAGTAATATAATGATTACTGACTTTTTCCATGAATGAAAAGAAATCATCTATTTCTACGAGCTTTGCGAAAATGAAGAAGATTAATTAATATTCCTAGATATCACACGACGCCTTGAAGACGGCTTAAAGACGCCTTAGACCTAAAACAGCCGTAAAATGGCCGTCTTCAAGGCGTCATGCGCTATCTGGGTTGTTACGTATATCCACCGAAATTAAATAAAATAAAAATGAAAATAAATAAAAATATTTCAAATAAAAGCCTCACTATTTTGAGTATCCTTCGAATAAAGTACTATTTTGAATGCTGTTACAAAAACTTTTTCCGAGAAATAAAATATTTTATTTCCAAAAGTACACGTATGATTTACAGTAACATGAACTATTTACTATTTAAAATAGTATTTTATCCAGCCTTAGACTCACCCAGATAGCGCATGACGTCTTGGAGACGCCCATTTTACGATTAATTTAGGTCTGAGGCGGCTTTAATCCGTCATTAAGCCGTCTGTGTACTATCTGGGCAGATACTAACCTTCTATTGGATGATCAAAAACGTCCACGTTTTCGACAGAAATTTGTATTGGCGGTTTCAGAACATAATTTTGTTCCACAGTGATCGAGAATGATTACGAAAGTAATGGATCACGTACGTATGTAATTTAACGTGTGTGACTTGCACATGACGCCGGACGGGACAAAGGGTGTTATCGATTGAACACGCTCGGCGTCACCGAACGTCCTCGTTTCGCGACGTGAAGCCACCGATCTTGTGAAACGAAATCAAATCGTCAAAGATCGAGACCAAATTATGAACGCAGATTCTAAAGTTCACGTTCGACCATCACGGTCGCCGATGAATTTTAATGGCTACACGCGTCGTAATACACGACTAGCGATGGGTCGGTGAATAAACGGCTCAAACATGTTTGGACGTTTTCAAACGCAAGATATTCGAACGGTTCGAAAAGAGTTCCGTCGTTTCGAACGGTTCAAACAGTTCCAACGTTTCAAACACTTCGAATGGGTCAAATAGCCAGTGGATCGTAGCCAGCCGATCCTCGAAACAGACGTTGGGAGCCGCGATTCGCAGTTCGTCATCGGATTTCTCGCCGATAAGCCGACGGATAAAAAGATAACGGAGAGGCAATATGCAGCGGTTTGCGCGTGTCCACGTGTTCCATGACTCGATTAGAGAAAAAATTGTCGACTCTTGATGCGACTCTCGACGATTACTGTCGGCAATTTAGCTGGATTCTCGTTATCAGCGAACTCGGCTGATTTTTTTTTCAAAGAAATTGCTGCACTAATAGTTTCAATATCACCGTGTAATAATTTCCAAAGTGAATTGGACACTTAATACATTCGCTGCATCACCCATGAATGTGTCGAAAAAACGAAGAAAAATTCATGGACAGTCAAACTTAACCCTCTAATACTTTACATTTAGAATATCATATTTTCAGGGGATTAATTAATATAATTTAATATTAATATTTCTGACTTCAGAATAACATGATACAACGTATATACCAGTTCCATAATTAAGAAATAACGATTTAAGGGTCTGCGCTGTAATGGGTTAAAATGGCTTTCCACTAATCACTTCAATATTATCCTAGGTGAACAATTTTTAACGTGCAATTTAACAGGATATAAATGATCGTAAAGAGTCACTTATAAATGTAGATACACTTAGAGAAAAGAGAAGTGGTTCCCTATCGATCGACTCAATATCAGCAATGGTCAGATGCGATCCAATGCAACACGATCGGTCAATAAAAACTCCGCCACTAATCTACAATCATCCTTTATTTTCTTCGTTCAGTAAGCGTGTTATCAACTGCCTGCAATAAATCGACACGTTTCAGTAATTCGCCGTGATGACGAAACGATCGGCATCACAAAAGGAAACGAGAGATTTAGGGATTCCGAGTGTCTGTGGACGGTGCAGCAATCGATTCCGCGTGTTCTAGAGGCGACTCTGAAGAAATGGGTTAAAGACCGCGAGGAGCCTTTCCTTTAGTCTGTCTTCCATTAGATCTTACGTACACGATCGATGATAGATATCGTACAGTTCTTACTGTTGAGGCTTTCGGGTGAAGACGGTGTCCTGTCGGAATAAAAATGGTCGAATGTTTTACCAGTGTTGTAGCTACCTTCGCCAGGAGGCACATTTGTACCATATCAGCGAAAGGTTGGGATAATTTTTCGGTGAGGATACAACTTGCACCTGACGGCCTGAACAGTGAGATATCTCGAATGGGCAAAAGTTCTATCATGGGAAGTTTTATCGTAAGAAGTTTTATTAGAAGAAATTCTATGATAGGAAGTTTTATGGTGGAAAGTTTTATCAGAGAAGGAAGTTCTATGATAGGAAGTTTTATCACAGGGGTTCCATCATAGAACCGACGGAATCGTCACGTATGACTTATACATGTATTATACGCCATATAATATACGGTGCATCATGTAACCAACAAGCAGTCTATTCACGTGACACTTACGTGCAACGTCTGTAAATTACACAGTTGGCTGTTTGCAACAGCAAACAAGCTGGACTACGTTAAAGCTTCTTAGGAGAGGATCTATTCCTGGCTGTCACGGATCATGGATTAAACGGTAGTGCAGGAGGCGTGTGGCGTATCACAGGGTTCTCTGGTTAAGATAGATACTTTGAACTGTACTCGAACCTCTCGAGGGAGATCTTGGGTTTTGATTGTTGCGGTTCGAGAGGGAAGTATGGTGGATCGAAAGTTGTTCTCAGATTGGAGAACAGAGGATCCACCAAGTATTTTTGGTTTCTACAATTGTTTTCGATTTTTTCTTGGATTTCTTTGCTTCTTTGGTTTCTACCAGAAATGGGCAAAATCATTATCTAGATCACAGGTTTCCAAAAGTGCGATCCCACTTTTTCCCTTAGTGGAAGCCGAATTTACTCGTGGGGGTACATACAGCTAGGCCTGCGGTGCCATTGGGCCGCGACAAGTCGGGATACGATCGACCAACGACGGCGCGCGTCTCCTCTTTCAGTCAGTCGCGTACCGACCATCGCGCGCATTGCACGTCGGGACGGTGGTTCGTAGTCGGCACCAGGTGGGCTCTATCCAGTTCCTATCCGGCAGCGGACGAGCAAGGGCAACAGAAGCTGTCGTTTCGGGGCCCAAGGGAACGCGTTTCGTTCGGCTTGGAATCCACCATTTTTCGTCGGATCGAATCCAAAGGAAGCTACCAAAAAAGATCCAGGGGCGGGGAACGCTAAGTGGACTTAAGGTGAGTGACTGGACGTTGTTCGATTAGTTTTTTTGTTTACCAAACCAACACAGATACCCTGTTGAACCGGTGAGATATAGATGAAAAACGGACGGTGATTTTCGTCGATCGATGCCTGGGCGAATTAGTCGCCTAGAGGAGGGCTCGAGCTGCTCGTTTAAGGGGACTGTGGTGTGGGCTAGAATTTTATTCGAATAATAGTACAACAATAGCTAAGATTCGGACCTGTAAACTAGTAATAGGATTAAATAATTGCTTGCAATGTGTCGAGTCACTTAAGCAGTATTATTTTAGTATACAAAATTTGTATTTCCATGTTTAGACCAGTTGGGAATGACGAAATACTTTTTTTAATCTTTCATTCGTTATTGGAAATCTAGATAATGAATTTGCTTATCTCTGGTGTGGGGTGTGTAATAGGCTAGTGTAGGCGCATTGTTCATGGTAAATTGTGGTGCTTGGGAATTTAATTAGGGAGGAATTAAGACACAAATTGGGGCTGGTTGGAATTCTGATGATGCTTGTGTTGGGGAAGTTTTTAACAGTGCAGTCGAAATACTTAGTATAGTTGTACGTTACTTGTGTTTCTTCTTGAGAAATCAATGAAGAATTCAAAGATTCTTCTCAGAATTCCTCCAAGTGAGAAAACAAGTTAATTTATAAATTTGTACATTTTCAAAAATTTGTCGTGTTTATCGATCCGATATACATAAATAGACATTACGTTTATTATCAGTGGTCCTAGTGTTGTATCAACATCAGGATTGTAATAATGTGATATTGGATCGAATTGGAACAGTTTGGGTAACGTTTCTATGCAACCTGTAATTCTTGAAATCTTTAAAATTTTTGTAAAATGGAAATAGTGTTGTATTTTTGATATGTTATATTTGGATCGAAGAGAATTTACTGGCTTTGTACCTTTGTTTTGGTGTACGTTCTTGATGATCGTGGCCTAGAGAGGAAGGATTCGTGGGTAACGGTATAATTGACCGAATAACAAGGAGGAATAACTTTTGTGTCGTGATCCCGTGTTCGTCGTCCGGTTCGAATCTATATTTTCAAGTACATTTTGGAGTCTGTTATGGTAACTCGTGGAACAGACGGAAATCATTATCATATGATTAACTACGGACACAAACTTGAGTATCTGTACAACAGAAGCAACACAAGGTCAGAGCCTTCATACGTTGTCTCTATTTGTAACCCTATTGTTTCGAATCAAAACTATGAAATACGTTTTCGAGTCTATTTTTCGATACCTGTGAAACAGAAACGAAATTTTTACTAACTGTTCGATCGGGTAAACATATATTTCCATGTTCTGCTCCTTGATTCTCGTGAAATTGAAAGACGAAATTACCATTTGAGTACCGAAATACTTATGTAAGTGACTGTGTAATCGTGGAAATACAAGGTGAAAACCTACACGTACACAGATTTACTCTATTGTTCGATTCGGAATTCTGGAATACGTTTTTCGGAGTTTAGGCCCCATTCTCATGAAACACAAAATGGGGATTAAACAAATCGGTACTTGAGAACATAAATAATCGATTCTAAAATCGAAAGATTTGACTTTTATCCGATTCGAAATTCTGGAATACGTTTTTCGGAGTTTAATTCCCATTCTCATGAAACGCAATAGAGGAATTAAAGAAATCGGTACTTAAACACATAAATAACCGATTGCAAAAATCAAAGAAACCCAGAGTTTGATTTTTTTGTATCCTTCGATTCGTAATACTGGCGTCTGGTATCCGTCCAGTGAATAGAAAGGAGAGGGTTCGACACGCGTGGAAAGTCTCGTAGCGCTTTAAACGCGTTCGAGCAGCTGTTTTCGAGAACACTCCTCGTGTCGCAGGCATAGCGTAACGATGTACGTTACACACCGATTTCACGCGGGAACACGAGCGACTACTGTCTCAGAAATAGACGCTTGGTGGTAGTGACCTACGCCTATTTCGATGGTAACACAACATCGCCGCTCCTCTGAATAAATCGGGGAAATTATCGCGACTGTGGATACAGGGTGAGGCAGCTAACTTGACGATATAAAATTACTGACACACTGTACGGAAAAATTGTTTCGAGCAAAAGTTGCATGGTATCAAAGGCTGCACATGCAGAAATTATTATAGTTTTTCTAGATTGTTTACACGTAAAGTTATGGAGGTCACAGTGATTTTTTCAAATAGAACACCCTATATTTCCTTAGGGAAATTCAATGGGAATTAAAAACTGAGTAAATAAGTATTAACGCATAATAGGTTTAAGGTGACTATTCATTGAGATATTTACAATGAAAGTTTTATTGTAACAGGTGTTAAATTGAATTTTATTGATCCATCGATGACCCTAGAAAACATGCATAAACAATCATTAGTCTACGTACAAAAATGTTTAGTACGCTAAAAATCAGTACTGTATCAGGAATAACGGTCAACAGTTCGAACGCCTTTTATACAAAATTTTTAATTTTGAATATCTCAATGAATACGCGGTTTAGACCTATTATACCTCCACATTTATTTCCTTACTTTTCGAGTCTCATTCCATTTCCGAAAGAAATATAGGGTGTTCCTTTTGAAAAAATCAAAGTGATCTTCAGAACTGTATGTGTAAATAATCTAGAAAAAAAAAATAATAATTCCAGCATACGTCTTTCTTGATAGCATGCAACTTTTATTCGAACAATTTCAAATCGTCAAGTCAGTTATCTCACCCTGTGTATATCGTTTCATGTATACTCACATTTAGAAAAAAAAAAACAAAAACGAAACAATTCTGTACAACTTTACGAGACGTCGAGAGATATAATTATATCGCTCGTAAAGATATCACGGCGTAATCCAGCAATATTATCCCGTAAATGATGTAATTCCGCTCGAGACACACCTGCACTTTGTGTTTGCTCAATGAAACATCGATTTTACATGACCTCTGGCCTTGTCGACTACACAATAAAGAAGAATAGGCACACAAATTTCCATTTCAACAAAGAGTTAGGACACTATAGTTTAGGACACTTGTCGAATATTGAGTAAATTTTACGAGATGTTACAAAATTGTTGAAAGTCTAAAGTAAATATTGTTTAGAGGACATTAAAACTCGATCGACAACGAGTATGGTATTGTGACGCAACAAAAATGACCCAAAATATATAACTTTCATGGAAACATCACATTTTCTTCATATGAACCAAACCTCCTTTTATAATCGAACCCCCAGTGGTGGTGATAACGCCTGGACAATAATCGTGTAGAACGAGCTAGACAATAATCGAGAGGAGTCTGTACACAATTCTTTAACAGTGATCTAGGAGTACGTGTTATTCGAGGATTCCCCCAATTCTCTACCATGTTACGGTAATGCCAATAACGAAAATTTACCATCCATTGATAGTTCGATCGTGAAATTACTACACTGTCAGAAACGAAAAATTATCGACGAAAGTTCGATGTTCCAGGGCAGATGTTCGTTCGAATAAATGGTGTCGTCCAATTTCGAAATTGAAAAGCACTCGTGATTGCATGTCGAACAACCTTTATCTGCACTTACGGTCGTGTTTATTGGTTACATACCGACGATGATTTGCGGGAAACGAGCGTACAGTGACGTTCGACAGCGAAATTTTTGCGTATACGTGACGTAACTATTAAAAGAATTGTTTCACCTTGTCACGTTTCAATTGTAAAAAGGCGACGATGTCGTCTTCTAAAACCGTCTCGAGTGCGGATTAACCTTGTACTCTTCATTGTCGCGATAACGATTTCGACATCGACTCCGATAATCGGCGATAAATCAGATCTCGAGAGTGTATACACACTATCGATCAAGAGCAAAGAACCGATCTGTATCACTGTTATTTCTCTTTGAATCAGTTTTTACCGTCGAAGATTTACAGTAACACTGATACCAGGGCACGTGGGTCGATTGCGCAACCGGGCGCGAAGTGCTCACCGTCGATCGTGATTCGTGATCAAGCGGTTTCAAGCATTTTAACCGGCTCGTTAGATCTTTCCTTCCGCGGTGATTCCTGTGGGGCCGGAAATGTTGCGAAAGCACGTGATTTCCAAAGATCCGACGAGTTTTGTCCACCGTGTAGCGATGGAGACGAACATCTAGCGAGTAAGAACAAATTTTTGTGAAGTTAAATTGAACATGCGATCGATCGGAGCTTAAATTATAGAAAAATGTTAATTATCGTGATAGAATATACGTGAAATTGTAATTTCCAGACTTCATGGTTTCACTAGAGTTTTCTGTTGGAACGTACGATGGTTCGAGCCAGCTAGTCCGAGTAAAATTCGCTTGGAATTCGAGTTAGGCGGCTCGGTGCTTCTTTTTACACGTTGATTAGCGTATGTGTGCGTGTGGAGTAAAATTAGAGATCGTAAAACCGGTGATTTAGGAGACTTCGCGAAGGAAAAACACGGTCACGAGGAAAAACGCGTGCTTGCCTTGGGACGCTGCGCGATACTCTAGAAAAATTCTATTTATGAGTAAGATACACGGTGTGTCTGTTAATTTTGGATAAATTCGGTAGCGTCAACTATTTAGAACTGTGATCGAACACATTCTCAAACGTCCACGATCCATTTTAAGTGTTAATTCTTCAATAAACTAGTCGTGAAGGTACTAAACTGTGGCATGGCGAATATAAAGTCTTTTACACGAATTAAAACGAAACTCTGGTCTAGATCCACATAATCAATCTTATTAAACGCCATCGATCCTCTGCAATTTCATCTAAAATCACGAAATTATTCATAAATCCAATAAATTGATCCATAACTAAAATCTTATGAAATCCATCATTAATCTCTAACGATTTAAAATGAAATAACGATCCATAGATCTCCAACGAACCGACATTGCGAACAGAACTAAATTGCATCTTGACGCACGGAACATAGTTCTCTTGTATAATGATCGATCAGACATTCTCTCAAACGCCGCGTAGAAAGTTAGTGTCCCGCGACGAAGGTGGTCTCTGCCACGAAATCACTGTCATTAACTATGGTATTCCGCGGCGATCGCCTTCGTGACACACACTCGCGAGACCGCGGTATGTTTGTTGAATTATTCGAAGCCAAAAGTACGGATAACCCGATACTATCGAGGTATCGATACTTTTATATGTACTTTTATTTACTTGGATCGGTTCATCCCTAGCCAAGAGAGACTGCGGATTTTATGCATTTATAGCCTATAGGGGTCTGTAAAATACAATAAAGGACAAAACTTTTATCAGATCCAATAAGTTCTTTGGGTTTCCTACATTTGCTCTTCTCTGTATGAATTGTTTTAGAAAATATTATTTTCCATAAAAATATGCAGTCTATTTATGACGTTCGATTCCGTTGTATCGCTAACACAGTCGCGTCCGTGTCCTTAAATGTGTGTTATCACGAAACACAACTATTTACCGTCGTTACAGCTTGTTCGGTTAACGCATCTGCGTCATTAGCACGTGTACGCGATAGATCATTATCGACGAAACGTATACACATATCGGGTGACCTGTCAGTGAAAGAACATTATATAAAAAAAACGAGAAAATTATGTTATTATAATAAGCAAATGATTAAATATTGATTATTTTCAATTCCTTGTTTCATATTAAAACAATTTTCACGCCATTGATTAGAAATGTTCGTTTACTTAGTAGGTCAAATTATTAAAATAAGCAAATGATTCGATATTGATTTTTTCAAGGCATGCTACAAGATTTAATTCATTATCACAAAGCTCAGGATTCATACTTTCAGTACCTAGTTTTTGGTTAAAAATGCCAGTTTCTCTGAAAAGAAAAGATTGTACTTTCGGTAAGAAATCTTACGACTGCCATAAGAGCTGTATTAAAAACCGGAATGTTTGAGAAACTTTTTCTTATTTATTTCTTATGAAGTTTATTTAATTATCTAGTCGTTCGAATTTGGTACGAACCATTTTAACGGGGAGCTCCGATGTTGAGCGAGAAAAGGATGTGCGATTATGCCAGTTAATTTTTCATTCCAGACCGTAAGATGGTGACCGAGTGCGACAGTTTCGGATCGAGTTGACGAGGGTTCCTTGGTGGAGACGTCCAATAGATCAACGGGCTTCAAAAGAAGGAGTGGGGACAGCAGCGGCTCTAGAGGCCCAGGTATTCCGACTGTTGCAACGAGGACGCGCAGAAATCGAACATGGATCCTTATTCGTTGAGGTCAGTAAATAATATTGTACTATTACAGAATGTCTACTCTACAGTCTAAAGACTGTTACAGACATTTATCATCTGCAGTAAAGGATCGATAGTAGGATTAATATCGATTAGACATTTTTTACTCGATGAGTGCCTACTTTCATTTTACGGCTGTTTTAGGTCTAAGACGCCTTTAAGACGTCTTCAATGCGTCATTGGGCATCATGTGCTATCTAGGATAATTCCCACGTTGAAGGACGTAAAAAGATTGTTGAATGCGTTAAAGATGACGCCTAACGTTAACTAAAATTTGATATTTAAAGCAGTTTCTGAAACGAACGCAGACACATCGATCCAAAAGGTGTAGAATCAGTTTTCGAACGGATCGAATTAAAGGGAAACTTTAGACTCACCGTTGACGGGTCGTCTCAGGTAGAATCCATCAGAAGTCTCTCGAAGCAGACTCTGAATAGGTGGTTTTTCCCAAGGCTTCCTTCCTTTTGTACCCCGTTTTGCCTGGCCCAGTCGGGTAAATGATCCATTTGGGACGTCCCGGGGATCCCCATCGGTCTAAATCCAGCCTGGATCCCCCATCTTTCGCCTTTGGCTGCTGCAGCATCGTGACCTCTTCTCGACGCTGAAAGCATTGCGCTGGATTCGTCACAATAGAGACAGACAATAACCGCATTCAACTATAAAAAAAACTTTCCTCTTCTTTTTCAATCGTCGCTACATGAGAACGTCGCTTCAGACGCATTGAATTCGTCTACGTAATGATCTTTAACAACGTCACCGTGAACAAGATTACCGTGCACGGATTATATCGCCCTCTTTGAAGTTTAATTATAAATTCAGTTGAACATTTAACAGAACATTCTTAGAAGCTTCAATTTTCGATTGCTACCAATGAATCGCAAGGTCAACGATCAAATTATTGAAAAAGAAACATTGTAAAAATATCGTCAGTGTAACCTGACGTGCAAACTCAGCATCCGCTAGGGGAAAAAGTGACATAGAAGAAAGGTCTCCTACCATTTAATAAATTTATTTCAAGTACTGAAATAAATTCTAGAGAAAGAGCCTCCTACCACTTGGTATCGGGAATTACTGAAATTTATGTCAAATCAACATTTATTTCAGTATTTGAAATAAATTTACTAAGTGGTACGAGACTTTTCTTCTACGTCACTTTTTCCCCTAGTGGAAGCCGAGTTTGCTCGAGAGGGTACGCATCAAACTCGATTGGACGATGTTTGTTAATTTTTCAAAGCGATAAACACAACAACCTCTAACAATAACCGCGATGACTAGCCCATTAAGCCGTTCGAGCCTAATCGTTTTAATTAGCACTCTTCATTATCGAGCCGTAATACAATCCGACATGGCAGCGCTGCTGTGTATTGTTCCGCGAAAAGTGCTTCTCAAAACTATGTATATATATACGGAGCAGGAGGGGTGGTACGAGTTTGTCTACGCCGGCTCCCGTTTCATAACACCGGTGACGGGTCGATCGAGAATTCAGGTGACGGCATGCATGCTACCGTGTCACATCGACGCGACGTTATATTGTGATTACACTCCGTTTGTCCTCGACAACGAATCCGAGGCGAGAGTCTTTCTGTTTTCGAGGCTCGAGAGTCTTCGAAAGTGTCCTTCGTCGCCTGACGATCCTCGCTAGTCGAATGGGAGTCTAGCAGATCCCCAAGGAAATAATGATTCGAACACTGGTATCTAAACAAAAGAAAAAAAAACAAATAATTATTAGTAGAGTAATGATTGAGTACATCACTACATACTTAAATAACAAGATTATCCATTAATCACATTCTATCAGATTGTAAAAGTATAAAAGACACTAGCAACTAGTGATACAGTATCGATATCTTGAATGTTATTGAGTTTATGTTGATCCAATCATCATATGAAAAACGTTAAACATTAACAGAAGATGCCCTAGACGACGGTCCACGAAGTCCCTTTCGATGCCTTAGAATCTGCTTGAATAAATGGTTTATTTTTATTTCTAGATTTTATTACTTCTAATTTAATTGCAAGTATCGATACCGAGAGTATACACACGTTTCTATTTATTTTGTATTTTTCTTCGATATTTCGAAATTGATTGCGTACCAAGGTTCTCAATGACGTGAGAAAGATGCCTCGAGGACCGACCAGTCGATACGATGGTATACGCAATGTAATTTTAACCATGACTATTTCGCAGTCGTGTTTACGAGAGACTGAGTGAGTCGACGTGTCTGCGAGCCCATTTTTGGAAATTAACCTTTCGCTGGACAGTCGCCTCGCGTGATCCCACACGCGACGCCTAATTCGCTGGAGTAATGCGTGTTACGCAAATGACAATGAGCTTGTGAACGCGAGGATCAAGCGGGTCAATGCCTAAAAGCCAAACAGCCACACATGACGCTGTTCCCTCTGGTTTGATGGAAATTATCATAATAATGAAATTTTGTCTTCTTCTTTCTTTCAAATAGAATCTTGATGTACATTTTCAGATGTTCGGTCTACCTTTCTTGCTTCTTTTACATTAAAACTGTGACGTTAATTTCCAGGAGTCATTGAACATCTCTTTCTGAAATCATTTCTTTAATTAAAAATGATGTCTTCCAGGTCTTCGTAGCAAAAATGGTGACGTTAATTCTTCTTCTCTTCTTTGTCATGTAAAACCATATTTAGAAATTGCGCGTACTGCCTTTATCCCCGTTCTTTTCAATCAATATCCTGACGTCTATTTTCGGATAAAGTCTTCCTTCTTTACAGGTAAAATTGTGACGTTAATTTTCAGGAAGTGACTACGTCTCTATTTTATTTTATATAGTTAATTAAACTCTATTTTATATTATACATGAACGCTCTGTTTGTAAGTAAAACTGGGACGTCTATCTTCAGAAGAAAATATGATCCTTTATCTTCTTCTACTTCCACAGTGACGTCAAGTTTGTAGAAAAACCTAGAACATACGTCCCTGTTTTTTCTTGTTCGTCTCAATCAAAACTCCAAGGTCCATTCACGGAACTGACTCGATCCCCTTTATTTCTTTAATTTTTTCTTATTGAAATTATGACGATCATCTTCGTAGGCAGCTGGCGATCCCATTTCTTCTTTTTCTTTTCAGCTCAAACAATGACGTCAATTCTCAGAAAAAGCAATCCCCCTTTCATCTACCTCGTTTTAACTGAAACCATGATGTCTTTATTAACAAAAACGTGATGTCCCTAGTTTCTTCAACTTTAATTACCGTCACGTTTTCAATTTCTAGAAGAAGCTCGGTCACGCCTTCCTTCTTCTTTTTTTTTTATTGAAAAAAAAGTGTCGTAGATTCCGACAGACGGTCACAGTCATATAACATACATAACACTTCCCATCAGGCACCTGTATGTATTCTATACATCTGAAAATAAAGTTACATATTTTACAGTAGAATGTTAAAATGAACGTTTTTTTTTACATATTTCAATAATTTTTTAACGAGGGCCTAGTTAGGCCAATACTGTTATGAATCAATTTCTCGAGAAATAGAGAATAAAATTTCTTTTCTCGAGAAATCAGACCTGCAATCCATCCTCGAATAGGTTAGTCAGCATCGAGATCATCATCACGCGATCGCGATCGATACGTTGATCATACGGTGATCGAACGATGAACGAAATTAACTGGTTAGTGTTGCTTTTTTTCGGCCTTTTTATCTTATCGTGGACAATCAATTATAACGTCCAAAACGTGTCGCGCGACGTCGAGACATTCATCATCCATCGGACATTTCTCTTCCTTGTCCCGTATCTTGAAACGCATCTGTTGTTCCGAGAAAATCAATGGCAACCGGTAAGTGGTGTGGCGCTCTTCTGCGAGTGATTCTGAAGTGTCGTGACAAAGGGAATTACCTGGAAAGATGTCACGTGCTGTCAGATACCCGGATGACGACGAGTGTTTTGTCGGCCGTCTCCGATTACGTGATCGAGGGAATCGAAAGGATCGTGAAACACGCTCGAGAGGCCGTCCGCCATTTTGGAGAACTCAAACTGTAAAATTTAACGAAAACTTTTTTTGTAATATTGAAAAGAGTGTAAATCTTTTGTCGATGGTTGGGTAAACACAAGTAGTGTATATACACTATACAGGGTGTCTCGCGTAAGTGGGCGGAGCTGCATCTTTAAAACAATTGAAGATACAGTAAAATGTCAGGAAAATTGAAATGTTGGTAATATGTTGCACGCATTGAACCAATTGCAAAATACACTTGAACTCTTCATGTTTAATGGAACTATATACTTTTCCTTGTATAAATCGATTCGGGTTACACAATCGAAAATGCAACAGTTCAGCAGAAATTCGAACTTTAGTCAAAACCCATATCTCTAAACCTGGCGATACGAGTCATTCGCACACGTGTGTCCGTTTGAAAATCGTATTTGCCGCTACGGATTCGCGTTGGATCTATACCTCGCCAACGTTTCTATTCTTGGAGGATAGCGAAATATGATTGGGCAAGCGTACGCAGCGATTTTTAAGGAAGAAAAATAGCTACCCTCGTGATGGTAGTCAGTGAGGATCGAGCGATCGCGTGGGAACACATTCGTCCGGCCGCTGTAGATCGAACGAATTATGACAAGTACAGGTCCGACACTCGCGAAGGGAAAGTCTGTTGTTGGCCGAGACTAGACACAGGAGAACGTGTCCCCGCGTCTGGTGTATTCTGTTCATGCACGATTCGCCAGATATAGAGTACGTAGACTCGTCACTTAATAACAATAATCACTAGATTAGCGGATTTCATGAATTTTATTTATCGATTCCCTTTCACAGTTTGTTCAAAAATTAAGTATAAGGGGAAAGAACAAGGATTTCATTTTTAATTTCACGGTGTATAACGCTTTTTGTTGGTAGCAGTTAAAGGTACGTTTTCACGTGACAGTAAATCGTAACTTTTACGGTCATGGCACTAATTTTGTCCTCGTGAAAATTAAATGTCACGATGTCGTGACATTGATTTAAAAACTATCATTTATTGTTCAACCAAGAAAGATTTTCGAATTTCTTTCCGTTGAGAAAATTCAACAAACTGAAATCGGCAAATCATTCACAAAATTCAAAATCATTCACAGTAGGTACTCTCACGTATTTTTTTCTGTGTATTTTCACCCTCAAGTACAATCTTCAATGAAGATGACAGAGGCAGGAACTAACCGAAAGGTTCGTAAGTGGTGAAAAATAAATTAAAAAAAAAAATTAATTTCGTTATGTTCGATGCATATTCGTGGTCATCAGAAATGCATCAAATCCACGGTCTAAACCATGATTTCATTACTGTCCTCTCCGATGTTCGTATATTTACGTAACACGCTCATCCACTGGAGGAAAATCACACAAAAAAAGAAAATTGACGAGCGTGTGTGTGGTCTTATTAGTTCGATTTGAAGCGCGTGCACGAGGAAGTAGCCTCGTCTTGACAAATTATTATTAGACCGATGGACGTGGTGACGCTGTTGGTCGACCGAGGAGGCACGTTTGTTAAATGTGTTCGTTCTACCTACTCCTCTATTCATTGAACCGCCTCTGTATGTACGGCGATGCATAAAATAAATTAGTATCTGAGTGCTTTCTCGGAAGTAAAGCTCGTGTTTCGATCGATAAATCCATTTTAGCCATCGAAACATTGTTGACTCACAAACCGAAATTTATTTTCTGCAATAATTAATTCATCAAAATAACCATCGTTTAAACATTTAATTTATATAACATCCAATATTTGAACATTTCATTTATATATTATCCAATATTTAAACTTTTAATTTAATTGTTATCATAATGCAGTTATCAGGTCACGCGATGAGTTCTGTGGTTCTTTTTCAAATCCTACAGCCATAAACCAAGAGATTCGTGATTCGTTAAGCTTTGTGATGATTTGCATTACTTGGAGGTAATCGAGTCGGTCATAGTTCGGAGCAAATTGCGAATCGTGCAGAAATAAAACATTCCGAGTGACTTTGCAGAACATTGGTATATTCCACTGTTGTCATCGTTAACGTTACAAATTTAATACAATACACGTTTACTTAAACCTCATGTAAATACGGGTTCCCCACTCGATGTTTCTCCTTCCCATGGAAATGAACGAAACTGAAGTAAATTTCCGACCGAGATTGTCAAACACGATCGAGAGGACACATAAAACGTTGCGTGGCTGTCAGCTGATCTCGAGATATGTTTCCACGGTGACCAGCGATTGGTTGCCGTGGACAAAGGATGCTTTCGAAATCGTCTTCGTCGAGGCGGATCGATGGGAAAGGATCGTAACGTATAAGATACGCGAATATACATTGTATAGAAATAACATTTACCAGAAAAATAACACGTTAATCATTTGCCTTCGCTGAAAATCGCCCTAAAGACAAAAATGTCTACGCAGGGTCACGCCCTAAGGACTGTCGAACGAATAATTGCAGAAGAAAAATAACAAAGATGAACGAAACAATAACAATGCGACAATTTTTTTCGAATAATTTAGAATTTGCTATTTTTAGAACTGTATATTCTGTAATCACCCTGTATATTCTGCACAGTCACACGATGTATCACCTGACAGTGTTAAATACCATTCACATAGATTGTACATTCCCGTTTCTAAAAAGCCACTCGTTAATCGTATCCAACCGAAAGTAAAATGTGCACAATGTTGGCCTGTAAACGAGGAGAAAAAGCTATAGACTGCTTTTTCTCTACAACCGCAATAAGCAGAGGCGACGACACGTGTCTGTTCGACACACAATCTGTTTCTTTCCTTGACTGCACGGTGTTTACGTAACTGAAAGTTGCTTCACAATTTCTCGTCGATTCGTGAAAATTGATCGACGGTGGCGAACGTGTTCGGTTGAATTGAAACGAATTATTAATCGGCACTCGTGTCGGGGATTATGCAACCGTATATACAGAGCTGCACGATGCATCAGCGGTTCGAGTCGCGTGTGTCACGTGCATAAAGTTCTGTTCACGTGGGTTTCCGTCTGACTCGGATTAACCTATTAAGGGCCAATGTTGCGTTAATGCAATATCTCAGCGGTTCTCAACGTTTCCATGAACCCGTACCAGCAAACCGTTAAATCCAAAAATTGCAATATCACGAACGTAACTAATTTCTTGTATACAAATAGGAATTCAAGACTATACACTTAATTAGATTATCATCGCATATTTTTATTCCGTTTCTAATAAACGAAAAATGAACAAGAACAGTGAATATTAGCAATATGATTACTAATTAACCTAATAACAATTAGGTGTCCGAACTTTTATGCAATTTCTATTTATATCTTGCGGTTCCGAAAGGTAATTCCATGGATTTGCATAACAATTTTCTCGTGGTTATTTCACCGTGGTGTGTGATATCGTAAAGTATAAAAAAAACTGACGTGTAAAAATCGTACTGTTTCACTGCTTGGTCCTTAATGGGTTTAATTGCCCGGACACTTGATCGCGTCGAGTTCATTCAAACCGAACAGCTTGGCCGCGACGACGTTTCCCGGTTGTAATTGAGCTTCCCAGGGACAGATATGCGGGTGTCGTTACCCTTTCTCGGAAAACGGAACACCAGATGAGCGTGATGATGAAGCGTTGTTTGCGCTTGGATTAAATCTTCGTGTCACTTAACGCCTCACCTAGTTGAACTCACACGATACACGTTGTTAAACCAGCGGTTTACAGACGAGCAGCCATATATTTACCCAATTATTCAATCCCAGTAGATTTAATCCTAATGGCCTTAATTACGATAATAAAAATTAACGGTAATTCTCGAGTACGTAAATAAGAAGATACGTAATGCGTAAATATAAACATAAGCATGCTATGGAGATAGGTCGTGTTATCGTTGAAAGTCGCCTTGTTGCGGCCAGTAGAATTGAAGTGCACTCTGCCAGTCAATCAGAAGTCGTTGCAAAATTTCGTCCCTTTCCCTCCTATATGCGCGTCGTCGCGATGGATCTAAACATTGCACACGTGAACATGGAGGATTAGAAACGGAGAATATTATATTAACTGAATTAATGGATCAGATAGAAAAAATGTGACACTTAACTTCTAAGTGTATAGATATAAATATTAGGACATCAATAATATCGATGTGTATACAAGTGTATCGATATTTTGGGTACCAACACGTATCGTTACCAAAAAAATATCGATACAATTCGAATGTATCGCCGTCACTATGTACTTCCCGGTCATCAGTCGGCACAAGTTGCAGCGAATTGTCGTAATAAATTGCCAGCTGCCATAAATCTATTCGGAATTAACCAACGCAGACGGTAAACACCACGCGTGCTCGATAAAATGGCTTGTCCGTCGCGTGATGTCACGGTTACGAAAGCCTAACCGTATTATAAGTCTGACATTGCTGATATTCGACAGGACATTGTTGTCGTCCCAGCGGAACGGCCTGCTGTTGGCATGATTTTTACCGTTTGGAAATAGGGTGGATGCACCAGTGAATGAACGTTATACATAAAAACGAGCAAATTATGTTATTAAAATAAGGAAATGATTAAATATTGATTTTTGTCAATTCCTTGTTTCATATTCAAATGATTTTCGCGCCATTTCAAAACTGAAACAAAAATTCGGGGGTCACACTTAAATGAGACACCCTGTACAATAGAGAAACAACGTGTACTCTAGACCGTAGAATATCCTACAGTTTCCAAAGAAATCTTTATCTTAAAAATTCAAGCAAGTTCGATACAAACACTTTGACTAAGGTGCAATCTAAGAATGGAAGTTTTTTTCTTGAAAAGAAATGAAATAGGGGTATTCACGATTATCAGAAATATACATGTACCGGTCGTTGATTTCAGTGTGGAGCGCGAGGCATCGAAGAATATCGAGGAGAACGAGCGAGAGTGCTTCAAGGATGCGATCGTGTCGAGCAGAAGCCTTAACAAAGGCTTCGTCGAGCCGACAAAAATCAGGAACGCCATAGCGGAGGTAACGGGGGAACGGTCCAATCGAATCAGATTACAGTAAATCCTCGATGAGTGCTAGAAGGCTCCTCGGCACTAAACATTAAATATTTCATAAACTACTGGCCATACACGACTGAAACAAATACCATTGAGTTAAGAATTTCAAGCTCTATCACTGTGCGAAACCTAATTAAAAACTCAACGTTACACCTGGGGACCTCTCCTTGTCAGTGTCGAGGAACCTTCGAACACTCATCGAAGGATTACTGTATCGGAAATGTTCCCAAAAAAATAGATTCTTTAATCGAATCTTTTACCTGTAGATCGCCTCTTGTATCATTTCCGCGTCTTTCCACATATCGGTCGGCCTGTGCATGGCGTACTCGGCGATTCTGATTCCTCATCTGGAGGCCGAGGACGCGGAACTGCACGCCACGCAAGAGCAAACTTCCTGGATAGGTGAGCAGCTTCCGACATGATGCCATTTTCGATTTCGACGAACAATAACGTATGCGCGAGGATACCTGGACCGAGGACGTACGTTGTACGCTCACGTCCATAAGTATCGGGACACTTATCGAATACGCAGTGAATGTTACAAAGCACTACGAAATTACTAGAACTTTTAAATAAATGTTATTTAGGGGATACTGAAGCCTGACGGACAACGCTTATGGTACTACGAACTAATAAAAGTGGTCTGGAATATATAATTTTTACCAAATCATTACATTTTCCTAAGTGTCCCGATAAGTATTAGGACACTTTTCAGACAGGAACTAATCCCAACAAGTTATTAAAAATATTCTTGAAGGTATTAAAAACATATTATTTTGGGTCTGATCAAAGCTTAAGAGATTATGGTCACGCTATACAAAATGGCGAAAGTGATCCCATATATATAATCTTCTTGAAGTATTACATCGTTTGCGTTCGGAATAGATGTCCCGATAATTATGAACGGGACTGTACATGCATCTATACGTTCCTCGTCGTACAAGAAACAAGCGATAATTCTCGCGTGTTTTACTACCGTCTTGATGATTTCATTGCAGTCCCCTCGAGAGACGAGACATACACAATGTATTACTAATTAGATACGTACCGGATTTATCGGTTATGCTAATTCATCCGACCAGATTTCGCGGCGATAAATACACGTCCTTTCCTCCTCGACATCTCGTGACCTAGTTCAGTGCATCCTGTCTAGCCGCAATTACAACTTTCCCGCGCGTTCCGATGACTGAAAGATTGCCAAACAATCAGTACTCAAAAATGAGATATTTCCTGTTAGGGGATGTACAGTAAACTCGCGATATTTGCACGATGGATGTATACCCGGTAGTAATGGCCTCTACTCAGGTTCAGATTACGATTCTTATGACCCAGGACTTTTCGAGGGTCCCCTTGATTAAAAAGCGGGGAGAAGGGGCAGGGCAGTAGACATTTTTTTACCGCTAATATGATAAAGAATCTTCAAAAATTGAAATTTACAAAATACAATTTTTTTAGAGTAGTATAAAAGCCACTTTTTTCTGTCTAGGGGGGTGGGGGCAAAGGCCATGTCAGTAACTATGAACAAAGGGATGTGATGACCATTTAGAACTATTAATTGCCAGCCAATAGCTGCACTTAGCACGCGAACGTTTCGGTTATTTTTACTGACTCATCTTGTTGGATAGACCGTAGAGCCCCAAACGCGGGTAATTATCACGAGTGTACTGTATATCTACTTTTGACCACCGATCATCGGTCAAGGAAGTCTCTCGCGATAATATACTAATTCCTCGATTAATGTTCCAGCCAGCGTGGTGGTAGTGGTCGCACCAGCTGGTGCTCTTCTCGGCGGGTTGCTGATGGAAACCGTGGGGAGACTGAGAACCCTTCAATTGGGCTCGATCCCCTGCGTTATAGGTTGGATTCTGATCGCTCTCTCGACAAACTTCCCGATGCTTCTGGCCGGTCGTCTCTTATCTGGTGTGGCCACTGCGCTATTAACGTCGCCAGCGATCGTCTACATCACAGAGGTAGCCCGACCGGAACTTAGGGGATCGATGATATCATTTGGTCCGACTTTAGCCTCTTTTGGCATGGTCCTCTCGTACCTGAAGGGAGCATACATGCATTGGCGGCTGGTGGCCTGGTTGAGCATCATTTACGCTGTCGTGCCGATCATTCTGGTCCAACTGTTCGTCCCAGAGTCGCCGGTCTGGTTGGTCTCGAAGCACCGCGAGGCTGAGGCGAAGAAGTCGCTGGAATGGTGAGGATTGCTTTTTTTAAGGGATACCTACGGAGACCTGAAACCGTAGACGTGACAACTGAATCATTGAATTAGTAACCTAACTAAAACTACTTCATAGTAAGATACAACTGAATTATTGTAAATACGCGCATGTGTACCTCAGTGCTCCATTAACATCTCCTCTGTAGGCTGTACAAGTACGACGTGAAACAGGGGAAGATGAGCGCCGCGGAGGCGCAGTTCACGACCATCATGAAAGAGATCGAGATCAAACGTAGCGAGCAACGGAACAGCAAGCACGGTAGCGCGTTCCACAAGCTACGTGGATTCTTGAAGCCTACAGGATGGAAACCGTTGACGATCCTCTTCCTGTTCTTTTTGTTCCAACAGTTCTCCGGCATCTATATCACGCTGTTCTACGCGGTCACGTGGTTCCAAGTAAGATGATCGAAAACGACCACTTACCAATCCCCTTACCAATATAATTGTATGTATAGAGACTTATTCCACGATGTTCGTCGCTATTTCAGGAAGTCGGTTCAGGCGTGGACCCGTACATCGCCTCGATTCTAGTCGGTGTGACGCGTTTCCTCTGCTCGATGGTGAACACCTGGCTCCTTAGACGATACAAGAGGCGTCCGTTGTGTATAATTTCGGCGTTGGGGATGGCGGTTTGCATGAGCATTTCCGGTTATTACACTCTGATGATCAAGAACGGCGATCGTTCCGGCTACTGGGTATGTCTTCTAAATGAAATATCATTATGGTCATTGGTTTGCTGCTAAATCCACGACTCTCCAAACAGGTGCCTGTGGTCTGTCTGTTGCTCTACGTCTGTACCTCCATGGTGGGTATGCTGACCATCCCGTGGACCATGACCGCCGAACTGTTCCCTTCCGAGATCAGAGGAATCGCCCACTCCATCAGCTTCTCGATAGCCAATCTCCTGATGTTCGCTGCTTTACAGAGTTACAGAAGCCTGCAAGATTTCCTGGGTGGTACGTACAGCAACTCCTAGTGGTTTAGAACCTTTTACAGTAACCATTTGTCGTACTGGAGGCAATAAATTCATCGAAAACCTTTGTCCTTTAAAGGTGCCTACGCAGTCCAATGGTTCTTCGCCGGTGTATCGATAGGGGCTGCTGTTTTCGTTTGGGTGATGCTACCGGAGACCCACGGCAAGAAGCTGTCCGAGATCGAGCAGTACTTCCACAACAATTTCCTGGCGCTTGGCGCGGAGGCGAAGGCGAAGAAGCAACAGGCGATCAGACGGGCGAAGAGACACGTGAAATCGGAGGCCAGCGAGCCGTTAAACCCGTCGAAACTGAAATCCGCGCAGTACGTTTAGAATCCGTGAATCGTAACCTCGGCTATGAATTCCTTTTCCTAGGTTCTAATCACGTATCTAATAATACGTTCATTGCTGCACGCGACGCAGGGATTAATGTTCTTCTAGTTAGTGTCTCTGGAAACGATTTACGTTTTTCTTTTTTCTTATCTCACGCGCATCGTCGATAGGGTAGCGCCACTTGTGAGTCGAGGGGCTAATGTGTCAAGCAGCAGTGGCTTCGCTTTCGCTTGAACCCCGTGTCCGTGTGTGGATCGGATACCAATTGGAATATCAGCAAGGCAAACATACCGTGTGGAATCGCTTTATCGCTTGGCACCAGTCAAGATCGCAAGAAATTCTCTGAAACATAAGAGAAAGTGAATGTAAATTGCACCGACGTAGATTGTCCGCGTCTTCGTTTATTTCGCTGCTTGACAAAAAGGGACCCGTGAATTCGAGATACGCGCCAGAAAACGGATCCGATGACGTACACACGCAACGTGGCCTACTCGCCTAGCTCTTGGCGTGACACGGATCATTCCGACGAGAAAACCGAAAACACACGACACACAAAACAGTATTACGAGTTGATCTGATACAGTCATCCGTGCGGATATTCACGGATGGCCGTAAAAGAGATGGATGATGATTCTTCGTGCAGGCGTTGGCTAGACGACGCGTCCACGGCGTTCCGTGGGGCTTCGTCGTCTATCGTGGTGGATTCGTTCGCCCGTTCACACCGGGCGGACAGAGCATTCCTATTTCTGGAAAACAATTCAAACAACTTCGCTGTGATCTAACAATATTCGCAAAGAAACGTTTTACGATAGAGTATCTTGGCCGACCTGGGTATCCATACGAAGTTACTTCAAACGAGTCGATGATCGATCGTTTGATTTAGTCGATAAACGTTAACCTTCAAACATGGTTAATAGGGACATTGTACCAAGTTGTTTGTTTTTTTTTTTTTTACAGCATAAGCAACAGAGTATTTAAAGTGATTCACTGTTTGAAATCTTATTCTACGTATGTATTTGTATTTCAAATAACTTGTGCCCAGGTTCGGTATCGTATTTAATTTCAATGAACGTACAAGGTGACCGGAAATATGTGTTTAATTCTTCGACTTTATTCATCGGTAATATATGGAAAGAGCTTTTTCACGATAGTCTTTCTTTTTAATGGGGGAAAAAAAACATTTATTTCCGAAGATTTGTTTGTAAGAGGGGGAATAATGTTGGTTCGTACCATGTATTTTTGGACACCCTGTATCGTGTACAGGTGCTATGTTAGGTGATCATCTACCGTGAGAGTTCATTTGACGTATGGACTAGAGCTTTTTTTTCTATGGTGCCCCTCCATTTGAACAGGTACTTAAGATTACGACCTTTTGTACGATGTTTATTCGCGTTTGATATCCTACACTTACGAATGCAAATCCTTTTTCGATACCTTTGTACTATGTATTTATATACCAAAATGATCCATTTGTGATCTATAATAGACTATTAACTGAACGTACAAAGTGTTTTTTACAGACAGAAGAATTATAGTATGCAATCGCAGACGATCTAAAGGATAGACTTGACGTTCGATATACTTCTGTGTCAAACATAACAAACATTTTAACTCTGAATAATCACACAATTACTTATGTGATTCATTTTACACCTAAGGGTCTAATGGACCTGAATTTCTAGTTACCAAGTATTCGTACCTTAAGGATAAAACATTCTTCTCCATAGAAGTTACTTTCCGTAGGATCCATAGACCCTGAGGTGTAATTGCAGGGTTTTTTTCTTCCTATTAAAGTATCTGGGGTAATTATAGTTTCCAAATGCACCGTTATTAATCGCAGATGGCGCTAGATCGTCAAGAAACATGTTTACCACGTCGATATTACAGGGCATTTGACACAAACTGCTGAAACGTCAGGTCTATCCTGATCTGTGGTGACACTTCAAACCGGTTCTGGTTAACAGAAGTCCGCAGGGATATTCTATCGCTGACTAATCGAACGTACTTTAATCGGATGTGATAATCTCGTAATCGATGGACCAGGTTGAGCGGTGTTACTAGATGAAAGTCGCGGCCGAACGAGTGTTCAGCTTGCCGGCGAGAAATTGCGTTGCGTCACCCGGAAGTTCCGGTCGGATTTTATCGACATAGTCAGCTTGCCCGTGAAAATCGTTCAGTAGGAAAATTCAAATCCATGGAGAGAAACAAAACGCAACCAAATTCTCGATCATCGTTAGTGCTCCCCAGATGGGATGAACTAACGATTATACACTTATTAAGAGATAAAGATAACCGTTAGCGTAATTTCAAAAGAGAAAAATTGCTGGGCAGATACGCGTCGAGATTTGTGGTTCGACAAGTGCCTTTCGTTCTTTTTTTTTCCTCGACTATTCGGTAATTATTCGTGATATAAGTGTGCATGAATATGCGTGCAGAGTAGTGATTATTATTAATATACTTTGTATCGTACTATACGGCATGCTTGTATTCTATGAGTGTACATGTATGGAGGCACACATACGTGCCTATATCTATATGCGTATACTATTGTAAAATTTCATAAAATGTTTCTAATAAAAGTGTATTTTTGGAAACCACAAACGAGACGATTCGATTATTCAGTTATTTTAATTAAATGAGAATCGAATATTTGTTCCATCTATTCAAACTTGCGTTTCCACCTAACTTCCTTGGGTCTCTACTCGCAGCAACCTCCCCGTAGGAGACTCGGGCAATCGGAATTACCCTCGTTAAAGTATTGTAAACCGGATGCAATACCAAGCTAACGACTGCGAACTTCAGCGAAATCAGCAGGGCCGTTCCTGGGTTCTTAGCCGCCGAGGTATAAAGAAATGTCTTATTTAACGCATTATTAAACGTGATTAGTTTTTTGTACGCGAAAAAAATGTATTTGTAGGAAAGAAAGCAGCTGTTTAATTAACAATTAGGGTATTTTGTCAGAATAAGCGCAAGGATCATAACAAAACTACTTAAACATAATAATGCGTCACAGACATCGATATTTTACGATACTTTTAATGGCGGTCCAAAAGATAATATAATACAAATTCAAACTGGTTGAAAATGTTGAAAGTATACGACAATTGGCTTTATTTTAGACGCAGAATCCGTCAATCGATGAACGAAAATTAAATACGAGATTTAATTACATGAGCTCCATAAATGTACGCTTACGTGTATAGCATATAAGATCGACATTTAATAATAAAGTATATATAGGGTGGACCAATGTTCCTGGCGCAACTGGCAGTTGCTTGACATCTTAAAATAAATGAACATAGTTTTCTTTAATACGAACACATTATCATCAAAGAAACTACAAAACCCCTACGAAATTTAATTCTCCACAGACCCAAAGTAAACTTATTAATTTCCATAAACATATATTAACCACTTCAATTATCAACTGTTAAAATGATCTTTCTCATAAACTTACGTAAAAAAAAAAAAACAAATATTCTACCGGATCCATCTATTTTAAAATATAGATTCTTTAGTTGTACCAGGAATTTCAACCCGCCCTGTATATTCAAGAAATCTCGCAAACGTAACAGACCTGTTGTACAAACGGTATCGTATTTGGTACTTATTGCAGCAGTGTCGTGTATTAATTCTGTCAATCATCCCAGACCTCCATTTTTCCTACAGGAAAGGAATACCGATAACAATTTTAAAAAACAAAAAGAAATAACTAAATACAGAAAAAACAAAAGATCGGACACACGACAATCTCAACACGAGTGGGGGGGGGGGGGCTAGAATAAAATACTTTCAAATTTCATTTATTTGACAGACAATATTAAGCAATCGACTATCCATCGTTCGCATATAAAATATATTTTCTAACATGCTAATAAGATTCAGCGTATTAAATACATCGGCGATTAAAACAACAAAGTTCCTATATCTCGTCCACATCCGATCAATTCCCATAACCTATCGAAGAATCGACAGAAAACGATCACCGGTCGGGGATGGGCCCAGGGAATAATCAAAAGGTACCCTTACGTGCAAACTCGGCTTCCATTAGGGGAAAAAGTGGCGTAAGAGTAAGGGCCTCCTACCACTTGGTATATTTATTCCAAGTACTGAAATAAATGTTAAATCTAATGTTAATTTGACATATATTTCAATAATTCTCGATACCAAGTAACAGAAGGTCCTTCCCTACGCCACTTTTTCCTCTAATGAAAGCCGAGTTTGCTCCTAAGTATACATCAATATCTGTGCGTGCAAGAATTACGCAAAATGGACAAAGGAAACAAAAAGTAGGGGCAAAAATTAACGAATCGACAGAATTAATAGCCATTGTCTGCGGTGCAAAAGTTTGTCCTATACCTGTGTATATTCCACCTGGTCGCGCGCTCGAACGTATATCGTACAAAGCGGATGGGGGATCGGCACAAGGTTCGTTCTTGTGCAAGAATTAATAATACCGAGAGACGGTCACTTTTCTCCTCGAAGTTCCAACGATTAATCCTCATAGTTCGTATGCCCATAATGTTTTCGTCGACGCACGCGCGGTTCCACAGAAGCGTATCACTCTTTTCGTGTTCTCCTTTTAAATCATAACGGTTTCTTATGACTGAAAAACACACCGCTTCTGTGTGCGTCGTCCTTTTTCTCTCGCTCTCATTGGTTCGAAACAATCAACATGGCGCGTCCTCTTGCGACGTAAAAACTCTTAGGACGACCCCTTTAGTCCAATTACCAGATCATTTTTCAGAAACCTGCGTATCCTGTGTACAGATCGACCATGTACCGACAGAGGAAACGACGGACAATCACGGGATTTGTGTGTTCAGTCTTCTGTTTGTTGAAACAAGCCTTTAGGGGGCAGTCCATGCTTTCGTAGTTTAAAATTAGTGGAGAGAACACGCGTTGCTTGAACTACTATCAATACAAAGAAAACATTTAATTCAACATACACTGTAATGTACAAACTCTAATATACATGTCATTAATTGATTTAAAAAAACAAAAAAAGAAAAGTGGAAGAAACCGGACAAATGTCTTCGGCAAATAAAGATGTACATATACTTTACTCCTAAGATACGTAGGACTTGGAAAAATGATCTGATACAATCGGCCCTTTCCGCAATGAAAGGAAACGCACGAAGGTATATACCTAACAAGTCGATGGTTAACGATTCCACGTGGAGATCGAAGAATTTTCACGCGGCCCCCGATCCATCCCGGTGGTCGTAATGCAAAAGTGGTAAGGACCCCTCGTTTAATACAATGTTATAATAATTCCTCATAGACCCTACGAATATCGTACACGCCATTAGTAAATATAATGTAAATCCTTGTGTCAATAATAACGCTCGAAAAAACTTAACAAAACAAGCGATTCTTTTCACGGTTTTTTTTTCTCTCTCCTCCCTTCCTCCTCTTTAGAAACGATCGCGACACTCAACGCAGAGGCCCAGCGGCGCTGAGACTATCTCTATCTCTCTCTCAGCACGACCAAAACGCTGCAGGCAGTGACGGTGAGCTACCTAATCCGTATATTAATTAGTTACATTAGGTTCTATATTTAATAATATGTATATATATACACGATCCGCGCACATACCGGGTCAAGCCCCCACGCATTGTATTTATTATGCTCTTTTTTTTTTGTTTCTCATTAAATAAAAGTCGACGATGAACGAGACTGCGAAAAGAATACCGGCGAGCACGTAACGTCTGAATCCCTTCAATGGTGTTCCTCTCTCGACATGTAATTGCGCTCTCTGTACAGGGTCTCGCGATGAACAGAAAAGCGCGAACATCTCTGGTGGATTCAACAACAGCTCTGAAGAATGAATTCTCGATGATTATCTGAATTAACAAGGCGACCAATGTTTTTGTTCAATGAAGTTCTCATACGTTATGTTCCAACAGAGATGTTCCCCACAGTCTTCTCTGTCCTATATATGTGACCAGCCTCTTGTGTGCACAATCACGCGTGTTTGCCTTGCAAAGCTTGCCGGGGAATATTCTCGAAAACATTGCAGCAAGAAGTTTGTCTCAACGAAATGATCCAGCTGTCTCGCGATCAAAGAGCAGTCGATTTAGAATGATTACTTGCGGCCGTACACCGTTCGTTATGCGGTTTCTATCGTTCTATGAAAATAGATGATACACATTTTGTTTGACGACATCGATGGTACAAACGTCGTACAGAGTGATTCTAAATCGGTGCTTATAAAGCTCGCCAGACATGTATCGTGTATAACCTCGATTAAAAACTAACAAGATTCTAGTACGGTAAAATTTCATTCGAAGCATTGTTTCACGCGCAAGAAAATTTTCTACGTAACCTCTATATCGGTAGCCGTACATCTTAATAAATAGCAGAACAATTTACAACTATAAGCGTACTAGACAATTTTTAAACGATCATTCATTAGCGTCTACACATCCACTAGAGCTTTTCTCATTATCTCTGTAGTGTACATACCACAAGTCTTGCGAACAGTATATCACTTAACTTAAAATCACTCTCTGTACAACCGATTCACGAATTTACTCTACAATAATGTAACGACAATGAGACGCAAATATGACGGAGAATCCGATTAACCAGGGAAAGATTCTAGATAAAATTGTCATCTGTGTTCCGTGTTTAACTGCGACATCGACGAATTACGGGAGGAGGCTCGCTATCTAATTATTACGCAGAGATTACAGAAATCCGCTTCGACGACAGCGTACACATTTTTTTTTCTTTTTTACAGGACCATGAAAGACGATATCCACCAAACAAATCTCGTCCATGACCACGCCAAAGGCACCAAGTAAAAGAAATACACCGCTGTGATAATCATCGAAACTCTGGCTCTATCTCTTTCTCGTCATTCCTCTATTCATATTTCGTTCGAAAGCTTCTTTTGGCACTGTTTGGCCGTCTATTCGGAATCGACACGCGTTCGTTAATATCGGATCGATTCAGGCGAGACGCACGTCTGCGTACAATCATCTTCGATCAGGCGTCAATTTAATTATACCCGTAAAACACTTGCTTATTTATTTTCTGAACGGAAGGACCGCGCTCGAAATTTCGTTACGCGATCATCTGTATCTTTCTAGTTTCCCATATTTTTTTTATGCTTCGAATTATGATCCACACTTTCAGAATTGATCGGTTTGAACAGAAACGGACAATGGCACAGAACGTTTTTACTAAACCTCGTTTACCGTTAGCTTTGATTCAGCAGTTTGTTTTCGTTTCTTTTTTTCGTTTTTAAATTATTGGCAACGTGTGACGCGCGTAGCATCCGTTCGTCTCTTTAAACATTAACATTTTCCCAGTGAATCGTTCCCCTTAATCGTTCCTAGTCTAGTTTCTGCCGATTCCTGTTTCGCAAATATCTCTCTCACTCACTCACTCTCACGCATACTTTCCGTTTCTTTCTCCCTTGGATTCTTTCTACGAGTTTCGGTGTTGTTATTATTTCACCCCTGGCGGGAAAAGTTCCCACCATTTTCGTTCGCGTCTCTTGGGTCATTGTGCGTCCTTGGAAATCTTGACTAGCACATGGATTCTCGAGCGAATAAATTGTCGAACGCCTTTTTTTCTCGCAATTTCGTGTCCCTTCTTTCAAACCCTCGCGACGACCGTAGACGACGAACAGACATATACGATCGTACATGCTCTATAAACAGAAATGCGAAAAAAAACCTATTCTTAAAATTTATTCGTCCCCACTGATGGTACAGAACAGATACCAAATGTATCGCCATCTTTATATATTTCACTTCCGAAGTAAACTCTGGTCTGAAAGCTACCGGCGGTTCTCATGTCTTTGCTCGTTTTATTGCAAGGTGCACAGCAACCTATCAGACAGTCTGTATGTACCAACGATGTTTTGTAAATCGGCGAGCAAGCGTATTTAAACGACACGGTTTTATACAACGTTTTATCCCCCGGGTATCGATCACCAGTCTCGGCTATTCACACACGTAGATATTCACCCCCCCCCCTCCACACGCACAACAAACGTGGGGTATAAATGTCCAATGTTGTATATGATTCTCTCAACAGTGATGTCGCACTGTCAAAATGGTTCGAATCAAACGGGAATTACATTCCTCTCGAAGCTCCGCAATCAACCACTAATAAAGACGCGCACAACGATACACGGAAAATATCTAAATATAATATATGTACAATATATAATCCTTAACGAGTAGCAAACAAAAAGAAAAAATTAATTCAGAAGTATATAAAATCACAAACGAATGGACGAGAGGCACGATACTGTTTCTTTTTTTTTTTCAACGCGAGCTTCTTTCGCGCAACGTACGGGGAAGGGAAGATCTCTTCATAAAGCTTTCTCTCTCTCCCGCAAGATATAACGCTGCAACTTAATATACCAAAGACGTGAAAAATCTTACACCCTAAAACGGTAATTGTCCCTGCATCGACTGACTGTGAAATATATTAAAAAGAACAACGCATCTCTCCTACGTAACACACGCGCGTGTATACCGATACAATTAACTGTAGACTACAAAGAAAACAGAAAAGAGAATATCTGAAACTCTTAGGACGTTGCAACGTGGTATAAATTCTTTTTTTTTTCGGCAAACAAAACAATGAGTCCGCGATTATGCACACCGGCTGCTTTATCGGTGCAACATCACTGTCAGGAAGTCCAGCCGTGTCACAGACATCATACCACATATACAGAGAAACACACAACAAACACCTCCCTTGCTGTCAAGTAGTACAGATCAGTCTATAATAAATGTTCGAAATGAAAAAGCTCTCTCGACTTAATCGTTTCCGAATCGTCACGGATTGGACTTACTGAGGAAGCTAAACAGCATTCGTTCATGCCTCGCACTAAGACGAGCGAATCTCTTAAGTATCGCGATCCGAAGCGTCGCGGTGTTTGTTGTTAGTTAATTCTTGCTATTGCTACGCGGACTCGCCGGCTGACTGTTCGCCTGTTGGGCGCGTTGTATGTAAATGTTCAAAAGTTTTAGCTTGCTGGTATACAGACAGCTCAGATGAGGCTTCAGTACTTCCTCACCGACAGCCAGGTGTATCGCTACCATACAGAACACGGCGCTCTTGCGCACTGCACTCTCATTATCGTCGTAAGCCTGGATGAGATGAAAATGATTGTTAATATTTTGTACAAGATTTGATAAAACCCAACGACAGTACCCCCAACCCAAACGTAAATTATTCAGCTTCCTAAGTATAGTGGACTCTATATTGCCATGTTGCGCCGAGGCCGAGGCTATGACGATAGAGCTTAGCATGGGGGGGGGGCCTGAACTGATTGTCATTTTACTCCCTTCCAGCCTCGACCACGGCAATATAGTTAGAGTCCACTGTATAAGATACTCGTAACATATTTTCTGAACTTGCCTTAATAAGACCGGGCATAACCTTAGATAGATGAGGCTCAATCGCGTCCCGACCCCAGTGTTCCACTACTTTGTGCAACATTTTGATTGCCCCCATGTTCAAAGGATACGGTTCAGTGGTAATTATAGTTGACACTAAGTGTATGATTTGCTCTGGCTTTAAAACCATCGCTATCGTTGCGGCACACTTTTCTGCCATCCAGAGAACCTGTGGGTTCGTGAAGCATTAACAAGAGATTCGAATGCTGGATCATCGTTTCAGGAAATTGATATTATCCGATGTTAATACGTGTATACATACCGGGGATCTTGTATTGCTGCTACCGCCGGAAGAATCTGGTTTCTGATCGTCCAATTTGTACGCGTTTATTACTTTTAGAACGAGCAGTTCGGGGTAACCCGAGAAACTGTCTACGAGTTCTGGGCACTTAAGCATGTCGATCAGCGTCTGAAGTACTTCCACTTGCATTTTCTTGCTGTCGTTAGTCAAACTATCTAACAATGTTTTGAGCAGTTTCCTAAGAAGTACAAAAAAAAAGGAATAGAAAGTCTTAACAATTCGAACCGAAAAAGTCTAAATGTCTATCCAATTCAAAAAGTCTAATGGTACTGAGAAACACTTACTTGAAATGTTGTTTTATGTACGAGGCATCTCCTTCCCGAACGTACAATTGGAACTCCTGCAGTGCTAATATCTTTTCTTCGGTCTGGGTCATCTTCGACTGCAGTGTCTTAATCATATTATCTAAAACTTCTGGCCTCTTTATCGAGTCGGGCGAAGACCCTACACGCGAGACAAGTTAAAATTAACTCCATAAAATAAGAAATAAAATTATTTATACTTCTTGAATGTAGAGGCTGTATATATACCGTGTGTCTTGTAACCATTGTTTTCCTGAGGTAGAATGAGATCGCCTGCGATTGTATCGCTCGATCCGTTAACAGTAATATTCGCAACGGACCGTCCTCGTTGAGTAGGCGACGAAACGGAAGACGAACGACCCTGGCGATATTAAAAAGGAAACAATATAAAAAAACCCGTATTCATCGGACAATACGTACATTGTTCATTTTATTACCGAGTTACACAACGTAAGACCTTCCATCTTCTCCTCCACGTCTGCCATATTGCTGATCCCGCTGTCTTTGCTGGTGGTCGCCCTTTCTAAACGTTCAAAACCGTAATTCTGAATTTCCGCAGTGGTGCGTCTTAACGATCTGTGGGAAGTGCTTTAAAATTAAAATGACAAACAATTATAAAATTAACGGGTCATCGGCTTGGACGTCCATCAATCCACTCACTTGTAAACCTCTTCCAGATTTTCGTCCGCGTTCTCCACGTCGCCTTTCACCTTCGAACGAGCCGGCGAACTTTGAGCTCTCGGAGGAGGAGTACCGGGCGACGCTGGATTACTGGACCCTGAGGACTTTCGCAGGTGATTCTGTACCAGTGGTAGCGCCGCCTCCTACAATGCAGAAATTATTTCTGTTATAATGACCCGTTAAATACAAGGTTGAGAATGTACACGTTGCTACCTAATAAATTATCGTTACCTGATAATATTTGGGTAGATCGGCCAGTACCATGGTCACTTTTGGGGGATTCAGATTGTACAACGATATTACAGCGTTCTGTGCATGCCTCCGAACGTCTTGGCTCTTGACGTCGTTCGACCAATCGAGTAACCTGGCAAGCGCTGTCCCCGCTGATGTAATTAACGCAGACGGTTCAGCTGTCTCTGCTATTTGCGTGATGAACGTAAGGGTGGCGATTTTCACGCGGGAATTCGGCGTCTGTGTCGGATCGGTGAGATACCTCATTACAGCGGGCAGTAATTGCTCCCCTGGGAAACATTCCCTGCAAAGAATGTTAACAAACAATTATTGAATGAGAACTACGCCTTAGGATGTATAGTTTAAATCACTTATATGGCCACGGTGTTTGCCTCACCTGACGACATCGAGGGTCTTGTGAATTTTCGCCTGGATCGAACCAAGCAAATCGGTGCCCAATTTATTCAACAGCCTCGCGCAGAGCACATAGAGCCAATCGCCGAGATCCTCGCTGTGAGTGGCGACCAGCTCGTTTAACGTGTCCAAAAATAAACTGAACACCTTCGTATGGGAGTCCATGAACATTTTCGTGAATATATCGGTCACCTTACGCAATTCCGTCGCCGTCAGCGTGTTCCCGTTGGAGAGGAAATGTTGCAAGCCTACTAAACCTTCTTTCCTGTCGCCCCAATGCTTGTGCGCACAATTCTCAATAATTTCCTTAATATCCTAGAAATCAATGTTTCCGTTTATGTAAACACCAATGGGCACAGCGAACAAACAAGAAGGGTATTTCTCATACAATCTTCATAAAGAGTATAAGGTGCATTTTCGATTCACTTTCGAATAATCGCAGAAGAGTATAGTATATTTGTATGGAGTAAATGGATATGAATAGTAAATTGAACAAACCTTCGGGATAGACTGATCCCACATATCACGGTACAGTCTTTGCTGGGAGCCACTCCATGAGAACGACTAATGTGGGTAGAGATGGACGATGGACAGATATGGAGAACAGAACACCCGGCGCATCGCGTTAGTCCAAACCAAACAAATACGCCGCAACAAAACCAAAAGAAAAAACCAGACATGCGTTATCTACTATTTTATCGACGGATGCCCGAAAGCAATGCTCTATCTTTAAAGCCTCTGATCGAAATCTACCTTCGAGTGAGGTCAGGAATCGCTGGGAACACTGGGTATGTTTAAGGATTGAACGAAAATAAAAAGAACATAATCTAATAAAAAGGAATCTATGTGATTCTATATTATACTCTGAAATAAAACTGAACATACTTTGGTCCTGTATAAAAACAAAATGATCAAAAACAATGCTTTTAGCGAGGGCATTATATGGCGTGTGATTATCCGGAACACCCAACTACGTTTGAAGACGTGTACGTTCAAAGCATCTTCGTATTGCATAGCAAATGTGGGTACCCCTTAAATGAGAATAATACAGCAGCCGCATATGATATAATTTTTATCGCACATAACATTAGAGAAGCGTTAATAAATTAAGTAAACATATATATATTAAGAAAGCGTGGTGTACAATAATTGTCTGGAGTGTGTCTGTAATGTCAATGCAGAAGTGATTTTCCTGTGATCATGTGCAGCAAGTTCATTCGATCCATACAAGCTTCAAGAGCATGAGCAGAGAAGGTTTCCTTTTCTTAGATGTTACAACAAATTCGGTATAGGTATGCAACTGTAATTCTATGTGGCTACCGAAACCAGACCCTGTAATGTCAATCGAATGTCTCCTGGAAAGAGGACCTTCTACGTCATCAAGCCTTGAAGTCTGTACAGAACGAATCAAATGAACTCAGTATACGAGAAAATAATGTATAGTGTATTGGAATTTCATTTTGTCTCACTGGTCAGACGCCCAGTAACGCACCCAATCATGTACCCCGTTACTATTTAACCCTCATCCTTTCCTCATTTGCCCAACGGAATTTGTCCGTCGGTGTCAAATTGACACAGTGTTAGAAAATTTATGTAATGGAGAAATAGTTAAATTTGCAAATTCTTTAAAATAAAAGTCGCGGAGCCTCAGCTGAATTTACCTATACACGACAGAATAACATAATTTCTTAGGATGAAAATGTGTCAAATTGACACAAGGGGCGGCGGATGAGGGTTAACAGAAAGTCTGAGACATCAAACGGTCCAATGTATCGAGAGGCGTTACTAGACTCATCAATATATTATTTATCACTTAATTACTTTACTCTTCTACTTTGATCATAATAACACGATCATTGGCTCAGTTTATTTTTCCAAATTCTGTAATATTCTTTCCACTCACGTCATTCGGTCGCCTAAAGCTGTCCATGCTCCTCTCCGAGCATATGCTGCTGGTTTCACTGTCGTCACTGTGGTCGCCTTTACCCCTCGGTGTTCTCGTGTAACTGTCAATGTTATCAAAAGTGAGCGCGTCCGCCAATGCTGATTCGGCTTCACGCGACTGTTGGAGCATTTTCTGTGCCATGACTGGCCTAGACTGAGGCCTGTCTGTCGGAGACATGTGTAAACTTCTTCCCCTACGAGTACAAAAACACATTTCTTCTAGATAATCGTAGATTGAACTCAATGACACAGGCCCTGATTAATGCAACACATCATTATCCAAATAATGAACAGACACAGAGATAGGAAGGAAGATCTTTAAGTACAAGGCTATTAAGTGGTAAACTAAATCTTTGGTTTCATGAATTTAAAGAAAACCCACACAAAATTGTAAATCCATAATAAAAAAATTACACGTAGAAACAATGTTAAAATCGCTACACAAGAATTCCTATGCAGGTGTTGTTTATATCAAATGCTGTGTTTTTCTCGAAGGTGATAGATGTTTTTTTTTCCAAATAACTACATATCTTTTCCTGTTACATCACGTAGTTAATGAAAAAATATATTGTAATATGTATTATGTTATGACCTTCAAATGACCTGTAGTTATTATAAAAAAAAATATCAATGACCTTGAAAACTTAAAAAAAAAAACTGACCATTTAATACAATTCAAATTACGTATAAAATATTTATAGCGTTTTCACAATTAACAAAGATATTTGGAGGGCCACACTTAAAATGAGACACCTCTATATTCGTAATCACCATATAACACATGTAAGTGAAGAAAAAGAAACGCAAAGCTTCAGTTTACAAATGTAATGTTACTCTACAAGAGCGTCATTGAAAAATCCTTCACATGGATAACAAATCAAGTAACATAACCTCCTAAGTCAATTCCCGTTTTAGTACATTTTAACGATCCTTATTTCACTGCACTAATACGAAGCGCATAACTGTGTAATTCCGATGGTAAATGCCATACCTTATTTTACTAGCGAAACTCCTATCCATTCCGAACCTTTGCGGGCTAGGTTCACGGCTGTTGCCGGTACTTCTGATTCCATGTCCGGATAATCGTCTGGGTCTCGCGATCAAGGATTCCCCCTCGCGATTGTACGTGGCGTAACTAAGCCTGGACGACGGTGAGCCCGACCGACTACTGGCTGTTACACCGTGTGTGATACACAAATTTTAAAACCATTCCGACGGAGATCATATTTCATCTCGAAGGGAACTATTCCCCCACTTTCTTTCTACTTACGCTGAGATTGCGACACACCGGCGATTCTCGTTCTCGTTCTTGCGGTTCTTTCTGGACTGGCCACTGCTGTGGTGTCTGGTGATTTACTGGGGCGTGCTGAATGAAGAAACGATGTGTGTCAGTCGCCTGAAGTGGATCGCAACGGCACGAATAGTAATGGGGGTCCACGAACAAACAGCCCAAAACGTGTTTGAGCTTCTAACTGAACACGAGAAGTTTGAACAGTCCGAACAAAGTTTGATTGTGGCTTGACTCCTAAGTAGTTGAGTTTAAACTCCTCGTCAAAAGTTCAGACACGCTTGAACGGTTCGATTATACCCATCACTAGGTACGAATAAGAATTTCAATTAATAATACTCACGAAGCGATGCTTTTTGTCGGCTGATGTTCGCATACATCATCCTGGCTTTCGCTCTTTGCGCCGCCTGCAGATCTATGGCGCTGGTGGATCTGACTCCAGACGTTCCGCGATCTGAGAAAAATTATTGTGGATATACATATATATGTATGTATAAAAATATATTGACAGTACTCTCTGTGTATATATCGGATGCATGGGTGCAATAGTCTAAGTCGCGGTGATGATTGAAGCAACACAAACAAGAGCATACAATTATAATGATGTTCAGTCGGTCTTTGGAGAACTGGAATACCAGACTGACGATAAGACCGTGGCAAGGACGGGGTACGTCTGAGCGGGCCATGTGGTTGGCCCGAAGTTTGATGCAAATTTTCCGTACTACCTTCATACGTTTAATGTAAAGAGGAGTCGCAAAAGCAGCATGAAAAAAAGTGAATAAGTATTTTACACTTGCGTTGCTCTCTTACTGATTGATCGTTCTCCATTTACATCTAGTCTACTTACTTAGGTCATCCCATAAATTCGTGTTCCAAGATCTTGAAATCTTAATCGAATTATCAATGCAGAGAACACAACGGGGAATTTATAAAATGACCTAATGGCGTTTAGTAAAAAAAATAAATAAATACCATACTAGAATTTAGGTTATGAAATTCACCTGTGGCACTCATTGCTGGTCTGGATGTCCTAGGACTGACACTCGCCGATCTCGTGACTACATTCAAACTGTTAATACTACCACTATTGCTCAGAGACATTAAAGAACGTTTGTACGCGGTGTCAAGACTGTTGAGTAGGGCTTCTGCTTGCTCCGGGAAATGATCCTTGAATGCCCAAAATGACCTGGAAAAATATTTAACATTAGTATTTAGATATTTTTAAAAACAAGGGGGGAATACTATTTAATAATGCTCGAGTATTTGATTCAAAGAATTAGTTAGTGACACTCACTTCCTAGCAAATGCTCTAGCCTCTGAATCCGAATCGGCGATGCCCTTTTTAATGGTGTCTTGTAATACTTGTACATGTTTCTGCAATATCTGGGTAGGCCAGGTTTGTAGAATTAAATTCAGATACTCGCAGGACGCCCGACGTATGTCTTTGCTTTTGTTATTTAAACAGGACGTGATAATTGGCACGTAACGACTGCAATGCGTATTCTGTAGCATAAACCTCACAGCCACCGCGCCAGCTGTTGCCACAACCTGAATATGTGCATATTCGTTTACAGACACACATACGAGAGTTACACTCCATTTCGTTACAATTCCCATCCGTCAAGCGTGACGACCGCCGACGATTTATCACGAATCTTACCTTGGCACTATTTTGTATCAGGTTCATTAAGGTGAGTAAGACCGCCTCTCCAAAACTGGCGAACTTATTTTTCAAGTGTTGACTAAGAAACGCTAAAGTGATACACGCCTCCCTTACAACCTGCGACCTCAGATCCGTGCAGGCGACTTCGAACGGTCTCTGTATGCTCTTCAAACACTCCAGAAAGTTTTCGTAATTCGTACCGCCCGCAATGATAATCGACCGTAACTTTTTCATCTGTTAAATAAATTGTACCCGAATTATATACATTTTCTGAGTTCATATATTAGATAGTTTGGGAATAATGTAATATTTTCAAGACGTACACTCTCTGTCCTCTGCTTCCAATCCTTTTTGTCATCGCCAATGCTGTCCCTTACGGTTTTCATCTGTTCTTCAAGATCCTTCGCTGAGAACAAGTTAATCGATGGCACATCTTCGAACGCTGTGAGGAATGTCTCCTCGTCGACCGCACCAGCCTGACCTGTATATATCAATAATAATTTTATACACCTGTGTGCAATAGCACACGAACTGAAAGTACTACTTGCCATAAAGAAATTTCACTTTGCAATTTTTATATGACCGATTACGATGTTTCGAAAACATTTTATGGTCTCTTTTATGATACACTCAGGAAGGTTTAATGTATTTCAGCCTTGAATATATGAATGTTTGTACTGGTAGAAATTCTGATTGTATATTATACAATACCTTCATGATCCTAAACATTTCGTGCTTCAAAAAAATATGAAGTGAACGTGACACAAAAAGCGGTGCAAAAAAAATATTAAAAACGTGTAAGCATCTTATTGAATTCTTTTTTCAAACAAAGGCGATAAAGCAAGGGGTTTCAAATGAAAATATGCATGGCGGCATACAATTAGTGTCTCTGATCAAATTTTAATAATTTTCGTATTCTTGTTATTTATACCGTGATGGTTGTAAGGGATGAAAATAAAAAATATATATATAAAGATAATAAGATTTAAACGGAATATACATAAACTTATTGTGGGAACCATCACGGTATAAAATGAAACTAGTAAAGCCAATGGAGTTTTAGATACCTGTTGCTGATTTTACCGATACGTTTCTTTTCACGGTTGCTGCCCTTGGAACCGTTTGCTGAGTATTACCAGGTTGAGCTGTCATGCAAGCGAATAATTAGCATTCTTGTCACCCAAAAACGTCAACGGTGAATCGACATTTTATCGGTGATTGTTGGGAAAAGACATTATTAATATTATCGCGAACGCTGAGCCACACATTTAGAGTTAAAGCATAAGGGTTAATTTATGCACGCTTCACACCTGTGCAATGGATGCTAGGGAAATATGTGCTTTGACAGAGTTAATTGTAATATTTGCAACACTCGTCTGAGGTAAGTTGAACACTGATATTTTATGTATGTAGGCTTATAGCACACAAAGCACTTTAATTAATATACAACGCAGCATAAACGGAAATTTATTAAAGAAAGATTAATAATTAAATATATTACTGAAGAATTATGAACAGAATTGAATTAAACTTCTGAGGTATATTAGAATTAGTACCTATTTTAGTCCTGATGTGTCTAATTAATATACTTTGATGTATTATAATAACATTTTTTCTATACTTCTATTTGATTATAGATCTACATCAGGTCAAAGTTATATTAGCATACATATGTTTTTGTATATTGTAATATACCATGCTCAAAATAAAACGATAAAAAATTATGATCATAATACCTTCCAATATTATTGATTTACAAAGGAGTACATTTATTATTAAATGTCTATCAAACCTACATGTACCTATAGCAGAAGTGGGAGTTTTTGCAGGTCCAAACTGTCCTCTTTTTGGGGGGATACCTGACCTCTTTACAGGAGCCGACTTAATCTGCAATTAGTAAATTTATATGACTTTATTTAATCTGTGAACATTATAGAGATCCTAACCTTTTTAACAATAATATCTGTAACACTTACCGCTCTGTCCGGCTCATCTGTGCTCTTGCCGACTGAAATGAAAAATATTAAAATGCGCATTAGTTTAGCAGAAGTGTTTTCCTTTTCCTCTAAAAGGCAACTGATTAATTCATGAAGTTATAATCCATTGTATTCAATGATTTATCTACTTTTAGCACTGTGTACCTAAGTCTGGGTACAGCCACGGTGGCTTGTGAATGTCACAATGGCATCCTCTGGCTCTAGCACCCGGATGCTTCACAATATTATCCCATTGAAGTATCCATCTACTACTTGGATCCCATAGTTTATGATCAATACTGGGATATTTTTTTAATCCTCTGTGTAAACAGCGATGGCCAATCGGCACTATAATACCAGCGTCATTCATTTTGCAAGGAACAGATTATCACACAGTCAATGAATGGCACAGCCTTTGAAAAATCTCTTATGTTGTATAGAGTACAACTTAGACTTCAACATGATTTCAGAAGACACCATCACAGTGTGAGAAATCTTCATTGTAGTACAGTCACTTAACGTAATCTTCTGGTTTCCTTAAAAGTTAGCATCTTGCTAATTAAGATGACACACATTGATAAATGACGAGATATTTTCGTAATGGATGCAAGTTTCCATTTGGTCAAAGAACAAATGATATGAAAAAACTTTAGAATACACGATTTAAAAAAAAAAAACGAAGGCTCGTAATTTAATATTACAACATTCATCCCCTTATTAAATTCCATTATTTTAATCTCTGCAGATATTACAATTACCTGACGACACCATCTTATATTAAATAATTACTTTAAAAAATCATCAAAACTATTATTAATAACAATTATTGTAGTATGTAAAATGTATATTTCTCACATTTTTCAACTGAGTATTTTGTAACACCGTGTAGCTAACGATCTATATTATCGACAGACACATCGGAGAAGGTGATTTTCACTGTTTTGTAATTGACAAAAAAAATCATTCTAATTAGTATTCCATAATTACTTTGATTTGAAATGAACGGAATTTTATCAATAAGTTCGTTTGATTGGGTTGCAGACACTGTATTGTAGGAACAATACCAACACTACATCTTTTTATGATGTTTACCCAGCCGAATTACAGATAGTTATCAACGAAGGCAAACATTTATTCAAGTTTACAATGTAACAACAGGGAACCCAGTCTGAGAAGTCGCAGCAACTTTAAAATTCTAATCTGTTTCCGTGATTGCCGAGACATTTATCATTCACTGGTCTGATTATCCTTCATTACACAAGATCGGAAACGGCAAAGGCAACAATTACCAATGAAAGACATATAAAACATCATGAATGGTTGTTACCGATTGAACTCCGTATTGAGTACGAGTTCAACGCGCTATAAGGTGAGAAGCTAGATTTGCATCCGTGATATCACTCGTAATAACTGCGGCAATGAGAGAGTTATTTTCTCACGTTACAGATAACGCGCGCGCGCGCGTGGCAGCATCCTCGTCTTAATAAATTGTTAAAAAATACTAATATTTGGTGCCAACTATTCTCCAGGTCAAGTTTAGTCGGTCAAGATTTAAAAAAAAAAAGACAAACGAATTTCCCTTCAAACGTGAAAGAAGCAACAGCCTTGAAAAAAACCGCGCTGTCCCCACCCACCGACCCGGTCGATAACGCCAGAAAAGAATACATTATCACGAAAAGAATAAATTTCAGATTAAGAATTCCTACGTCAACGCGATGCTGATCATCTTCGCAGTTTTACGTAAGAATTTTTCCACAGGTTGCAACCACACAATCGGCAATACATTTAACGGAAAAAATGAATTGCATTTCCAAGGATCATTGCGTCACGAATGCCGCGTGCGGCGTTTACGAGTAATTCATTACCACACACACATATACACACATGCACGTGTTCAAGCACGAGCCTTCGCCTCTAATGCAACGTCTTTTAGCATCGTTGATTTATCTCTGGAAAATCTATCCACCTTTCACGCGGTATAATAAAATGCTACGGGGGCTCTCTGCCTAGAGAATCTAATCGGAAGTACAGAAGATCCACCTCCAAACAAAAAACAACGGTTTCGTTGAAAGTAAAATTCTCGTTCACCGTGACACGCGAGAAAGTGCATTAATAATTCAAACGGATTATTATTCCCGAACTTTTCGTCGACGTTACAACCGCTGCGAACTTCACCACACAGAATCACAACACACACGTTCGTTCAGCAGGCTGGAGAACTATGGCGACGATTCGACGGTTATCTTGCCGACGAAAGAATTGCTTTCGAAGCCGAAACGAATCGACAGACGCATTTACGGGGACTCGTCCGGCAGCGGAACGAATCTATTCCATTCTCGAAAACACGTCGGTCACGATGACTGTGTTCTTCGCGGGGGACACACGATTGTTCGTATTTTGTTTCTTTTTTCCCCTCGCCAAATACCACGGGCCTATTGTAATCACCGGAGACGACAAACAAAGGAATCGTTTTCTAACACGCACGGTTTTTTCTGCTTGTTTTTTTCACCTAATTACACAAAGCACACTGAACGACTGGTTTTATCGCGAAAATATTCTTTGCCGCGGCGATAAACCGGTGTGTGCGTGCGCCGGCGGCGTCGCACGAAACGTTTGAAAACCCCGCGTTACCCAACGCGTATGCAGAGGATGGTTCTGCGACTAAATTAATCGTCGGACTGGAAACGTCGAGGGTATATAATATCGTCCCGATGCAGCTGCGTGTCTCGTCTGATCAGGTAAACAAACAATGTGTCGTCGCGGAGAAACTGAAACGATCGTCCTTGCCCATTGTGTCCGTGAACAACAGACGGTTGCGTGTGTGTATGCTTCTCTGTGTATTCGCTAGAGAACGCGTGCGCGCGCGTCACTCTCCCGGAGCACTCGTGACACAGAAAGAAGAAAAAAAAAAATACGATCAAGATCAAACACCACTGGGGGACACGGACGTTTTTTTTTCCTCGCGATTCCGGAGAATCGTTCGGGGGGGACCGCAATATAGTGCTTAGAAACACGGTCTAGTATCGAGATACACGCGTCTCTCACGTTGCTAAATGGCGACTCTCGTTTACTCTACGAGGAACTCTCCCGGTAAGCGGTGTGCTTACGCGCGCGACGGGAGAGGAGGGGGGACCTTACCCTATCGGTGGCCCTGATTGGGGGGGCCAAAACGAGGGGGCCATCGCGTAACACATCACCTCTGTCGGTTACGAGCAGCTGACGATTAGAGGATCCAGATTGAAACTACTTTGTATTGGGCCATCGCGTAACACATCACCTCTGTCGGTTACGAGCAGCTGACGATTAGAGGATCCAGATTTAAACTACTTTGTATTTTTTTTTCTGTTTATGTTTGATGTTTGATTGTTGATCAGCAATGGAGACGAAGGAACGGCGAGGAATGATTCGTGCCGCGGTAGGCTCCCAGGCTTATGGCCGATACGACAAGAATCATTTGTGTACCGGCATTCAAATTACTCACTGTGAGTGATGTAAAATTTTCTGGGTTATTCAGAACCCAATAAGATACTTTAAAAGAGAAAAGAAGTTCCTACATTTGCTCTTGTCTTAATAAATTACTTCATAAAATGTCATTTTGAATAAAAAGTTATATTTTGAAAACAGAACGAAGGCGATCGGATTATTTCCAAGTTTCCATACTCAGGGGCGGCAGTTTTACCAAAATGGCGTCTTTGAACAGCACAATGGACCTCCAACGTGAGTAAAGTGTCGCGATACACCTTGAGCAAAGTTCGTTATCGTGTTACCAAACTCGATATCGAGAAATTAAAGGGGGGAAATTTTATAGGCCGGTAGCCGTGTTCGAATATCAGGTTCAGGGGGAAAGAAATCCCGAAACAAAAGCTTCTGGAGATCGGGAACTCGATCGGTCTTCCCCGTCCCCGGTGGAATTCACGTTCTCCATACGGGACTGGTGTCGCCTTGAATCGTGGCCGGTGTTATCGCGTCATTTATCAGGGAACGAATGACATAATTAAACGTGGGGCCGCGACCAAATATAAAAACGCGGGTCGAAACGACTCTGGTCGTTGCGAAATCAGCCGACAAATCGGTCAATCCACGTGAACCAAGGCGACTGATTTAATGCTGGGGGAGGGGGCACAACGATGGGACCGCAAGTTCAATATGTGCTCATAAAATTCGGATGTTTCATGGCAAATAGCATAAAAACAAAGCATTTCATAAGAAAGTATTTTATACAAAAATTGTTTGGTTTTGAGGGGGAAAAAAATTACATTATTTATGTTTAATCTAGTGAACGTTTGAAAGATTGTTTGAAGGTAAACCTCGTTTTTTTAAACCGATACCTACACTTTTTTAACCGAGATTATTAATCCACGCAAAAAACTTAACAATTCTTGATAAGTTATATATAATAAGTTAAAAAACACCGTAATAATTTCAATAATAGTAAAATAACAAATCCGAATTTTCGACGGGTTTGGTAGTTCTAATGTTAGAACAGGACACTGCTCGGTTTAACTGGGTCCCCATTATTATCAGCTATCACGAGAATCTGCGCCGCCTGTTTGAAAGTTCCGTTTCCTGGAGCTCGCGAGAACGGAGGGCAGACAAACAGCGAGAACCCCAGGCGAAGATTGATGTCGGCTGGAATCAGGAATCAGGTCGCGGAGACACCGAACCCGCGTGAAAATGTCCAGCTTCGATACGTGCGTCTAATAGTAGCTTTCCGGCTTGGAACCTAAACAGGTGGTACCACCTGACAACTGTCACGAAGAAATGACAATTTTTTATGTAACGACGAGTATAATTGTCATGAAGAGATGGCAATTTTTTATGTAACGGCGAGTATACTCGTCGTGAAGGAATGACAATTTTTTATGTAACGACGAGTATACTCGTCATCGCGTCGTTCTAGCGATACTCTACGTAGATGCACGCTGTAAAAGCGCCATCAGAACTAAGAGGTTAAACGAAACGAAAAACGAAAAGAAAACGACTGATCATTCGGTAGCCCAGTATTACCATTAACGTAGCCACATGGTACATA